CCACCCCACCCCCCCCCCCCCCACCAGTGTCCCCCCCCACCAGTGTCCCCCCCCCGTCCCCACCAGTGTCCCCTCCCCCCACCAGTGTCCCCACCCCACCAGTGTCCCCCCCACCCCACCAGTGTCCCCCCCCACCAGTGTCCCATCCCCCACCAGTGTCCCCACCCACCAGTGTCCCCTCCCACCAGTGTCCCCCACCCCGTGTCCCCCCCCCAACAGTGTCCCCCCCACCAGTGTCCCCCCCCCCCACCAGTGTCCCCACCCCCCACCAGTGTCCCCCCCCCACCAGTGTCCCCCCCCCCCCACCAGTGTCCCCCCCCACCAGTGTCCCCCCCCCCCCAGTGTCCCCCCCCCCACCAGTGTCCCCCTCCCCCCACCAGTGTCCCCCCCCCACCAGTGTCCCCCCCCCCACCAGTGTCCCCCCCCCACCAGTGTCCTCCTCCCCCCCAGTGTCCCCCCCCCCACCAGTGTCCCCCTCCCGCCACCAGTGTCCCCCCCCCCACTCCATCCACTCCTCACCGCCCGCGCGAGGGTGGTGACGGCATCGCCCATTGGCCCGGGCCCGTGAACCTCCCTCCGACCAATCGCGGCCTGCGGGGCCGTGAGGCGCCGAGACAGGCGGCGATTTTGCTTGGCGGGAAGTGCGCGGGTGCGTGGTGGTGGTGGCGGCTGTGGTTGTTGTTGCTGGAGAAAGTGGAGGCTTCGTCTCGCGATCACCACGAGCTCCCCACGCGTGAGTGCCGCCGGTGTGTCACCACCGCCGCCGCCGCCGTGGCCGCGATGCACGTCCCGAGACGCGCAACCACTCGGCCCCCGCGTGCGTTACCTGCCTCTGGCTCGTACCCGGGCGGGTGGCGCGTTCTGTGTGTGTGTGTTCGTGGTGTTGTGTCACTGTTGTGTCACTGTTTTGTAACCTTTGTGTTACAATTGTATCGCGTCCCCTGTTGTGTACACGTGTGTTGGCACCGTGGCTTTGTTATGTAACCTGTGTTGTGTAACGTTTGTGTTGTGCTACCTTTATGTAATATGTTGTGTAACCTTGGTGTTGTTTGCCTGTCGCCCGTTGCGCAATGTAACTTTGTGTTGCCGACCTTTGTGTTGCAGACATTGTGCTGTGCCGCCTGTTGCGGGACAGCTTTGTGTTGCGTTACGTCTCGGGTGTGGTGTAATATCTGTCTTGCGTTATCCGTGTTGTATTCTATTTAGGATTTATACAGCAGCGCCCTTTCCAGGGCACTTTACAACGCAAGTTGACGGCGGAACACGGGGGGCAAAAGGGGAGCAACGGGTGGGGTGGAGCGGCTGTCGGTGAGGGTGGTGACGGAAGGGATGGAGGGACAGGACCTAGGAACGCAGCTGCTGATGTTGTAGGGGTTCGGGAAGGCGGTGGAGTGTGACGGCGATTGCGGGCGACAGATGGGTGCGACGTATGGGGCACACACGTGAAGCGGTAATGTAGATAGGTGCTATGGCTGGGCATGGATGAGGGTAGGTGAAGGGTAGAGGTCTGGTGACCGGATGGTTGGGCTGATTGAGGAGCACATTGGAGGGATGTGCTCCTCAATCATGGACGTTAACCACCCCCTACGTCTCTGATATCAGCTTGGAAGAAGTGTCCATGTACGGATCACATCGCGTACCATGGCCGTGCCTGAGGACCCCAGTAACCAACTACAGCGATGTACAACATTACCAGCCGCGGCAACAACTATACAACATAAACTACAGTGGTGTTTCTCAAACTTCGTTTTGGCCGGCGGACCACTTAGTCTATGCAAAAAAATTCGCGGAGCATAGCTCCGACAACCCTTTATAACAAAATGCATTCGCTTCTCTCTTTAAATGCCAAAAACCCCACAAAAAAGCCAGCTTTCTCTGGTCAACATTCCTGTAGCTCCAGCGTCATCATTAGAAGAAGAGGCAGTTGATCCTACTCCGTCTGTATAACGCCACCACTGCTTACCCCAAAAGGCCTTGATCAACCAGCCCCTTTCAACCAACTCTTTTTAAGTTTTATCTAATTATTTTTATTTATTATTCATTAACATCAATGCACATTATAATAATATGCAGTTTTGTACACTTCCTGACATTTAGTCACACTTTTTTTCCAGAAATTTCAGCTAGGAACGCAACCTCAGATTTTAACATGTGTATGGGAAATTCGAGTTCACTTAAAGTAATTTCGAGTTAAGTAGCATTTTCCAGGAATGCATCCTTTATACTGGTAGGAACGAAGTGAACCAGCCTACAATATATTATATCGTCCGTCCGTCCGATGTCCGATTAGGTGTAGCAACATCGCCCCCTACTGCAAACACTTGGCAGGACCCTACAAAAACTTTTAGACTCAGTGAGGCTTTCCTGGCTAAACAAGTGTAACATTCCCTTATAATTCCCTGAGATAGTTTTTTTATAAAAACATTTAAAATAAAAAATAACTCACAGCGGCCTAAAGCCTACAGCTAGGCCTAAAGCCTAGAACTAGGCCTCAAACTCTCCCTTCGTATCGTACCCCCGCGTGTGTGAAAGGGAGTTAATGTTTAACAATGTTACATTCCCTGATGTTTTTAAATAGAAACATTTAAATGTAAAGCTTTTACATTAATAATTAAAACATTTAAATTATTAACTCACAGCAGCCTAAAGCCTACAGCTAGGCCTAAAGCCTAGAACTAGGCCTCAAACTCTCCCTTCGTATCGTCCGATTAGGTGTAGCAACATTGCCCCCTACTGCAAACACTTGGCAGGACCCTACAAAAACCTTTAGACTCAGTGAGGCTTTCCTGGCTAAACAAGTATAATAATACATTATGTTTATATTCTTTGGTTATTCGTTCCTACCAGCCCACCCCGCAGGGACCTGTTTTATTGCGGAGGATTCCTGTATATTACCGAGTACTAGGTCCATTGTGTTCTCGCGTTTATGCGCTGTTACGAGTACCAAGTTGTGGGGAAGTTTAACAGTAGTTGCCCAATGGATGCACTCACCCCCGCCATAATAATATGGAATTTCGAACAATGGCTTAAGACTGTAAATAGGAGTTGAGGGTGCCTAAATGCTCATTCAACAAAACAACTCAACAGATTCATCAATTTAACACGTAGGAATTTCGATTTAAAGCTTTCGTGACTGCAGGGATTCATCTTCTTGGTTCTTTCGGTGAAGTCACGTAGAAGGGAAGTAATAAAATAATAAAAATAAAACATAAGAAAATAATTCTCACGACGTTTCGGCCACAACGCAAGCAGCCGTCCTCAGGTGAAAACCAGGTCTGTCGAGGCGACAGCGTCTGAATGAAACAACACACGTGCTTGGAGCATATATATAAGCTGGGTTGGAAGGGGGGGAAAGGGCGCCTTGACAAAAGAATTTGCATATCAAGAGGAATTTAGCATATTTATGGGAAATGCAGATATGTGATCAGTACTACTTATGCCCGTGCATTATGCAGGATTAGCAGCATCAAAGGGAGGGGAAAATGCACGGGCATAAGTAGTACTAATCACATACCTGCATTTCCCATAAATATGCTAAATTCCTCTTGATATGCAAATTCTTTTGTCAAAGCGCCCTTTCCCCCCCTTCCAACCCAGCTTATATATATGCTCCAAGCACGTGTGCTGTTTCATTCAGACGCTGTCGCCTCGACAGACCTGGTTTTCACCTGAGGACGGCTGCTTGCGTTGTGGCCGAAACGTCGTGAGAATTATTTTATTATGTTTTATTTTTATTATTTTATTACTTCCCTTCTACGTGACTTTACCGAAAGAACCAAGAAGATTCACACGTAGGCTTTCGCGACCAATATTCATAATCGAGGTTTTTTTTGCGTTAGATCGCGTAAATATGAATCTACATCAGTAAATATGAATCTGCCAGTACCAAAATGTGAGAATAGGTTTTCCACTTTTTCTGGCAACAAAACAGGTGTTAAGATGTTAAAACACCAAATTGAAACATTTGACAAGGAATATGAATCTGTCATTAAATCCGCCACCACCACAAATCTGGCTGTTGCCTGATGATGCTTGTAATTACTGGTGAAACGTCCTCGACTTTTTTAACGTTGTGGGTTTACTCTCCAACACACTGGTGTGCTGTACTAGTAACGAATTGGCATGCTTTGTTTACGTGACAAACCTTACGAATTAGCTGTGTCGGGTGGTGGCGGGTTGAACGATACATGAATATTTACACGATGTAACCCAAAAAAACCTGGATATTCATCAATTATAATACTGTTTGGCCAATAGGGCAGCTAGCCCTGTTGGGGGCTGCCTCAGCCCTTCCCATCCACGGTAGTTAAAATACCGTGCAGTTTGGGTTTACATTGCATCCAAGTGGGACAGCATCTCTACAGATGCTTTAGAGACACACTGGGCACATTGTGTAGAGGCAGTCGTAGGCAGAGGGAGGAAGGAAAGATCTGGAGCCTTGACTTGAACCGGGACAGGTAGTCAACAGCACGGATAACTTGGGGAAGGCGGTTCCGGACTGGGGGTAGCAGAGGAAAATGAGCAACATCCTGAGGGTAGGTTGACTGGGGCCTTTCACAGAAAGTCTTGGTTGCTAGAGCAGAGAGTGCACGGAGGGGAGTAGAGCTGGAAGAGAGCGGTCGGTGAGTGCGTGGAGAGAAGCATCGTGAGATGAGGGAGGAGGAGAAAGACCATAGAGCATTTTGGAGACGTGTAGAGGTGAGATGCAGTATATGTGCCGGCAACTGCAAGGTTTCACACTTTTTTCCACTGCAATGTTTTGGAGGTGCACGCTCAAACTGGAGTCTGACTGCATGTGAACCTTTTGCCACTGAGGAGCAGAGTACTTTGCTTTTGTCAACATTGAGTCGGAGGAAGATGAAACCCGAATGTTACAAAGACAAATATCCCCTATATAGCCTTCACAGACTTGGGGAAAGTGTTTTTAGCAAGCATCTATGCCAGTATGGCACACGAGGGGGTGGGTGACCAGCACCACTACCGCCTTTGTTTACATCGCGGCGATGTTTTACATATCACAACATCTAATTTTAGGCTGCGTCGACCTAGAAAAGGCCGAGAACCAGTTCAGATATTCATCACCGATGTATGTCGGGAATCGATATTGTGTCGCCGGGTTCGTATCCCAGTGCGTTAATCACTGCACTACCGTTCCCCACAAGGCAAAACCGAATGTGCACCCATCTGGCCACCTGCGTGAATCCTTTCCTGCTGGGTAACTTCACCCGTGTGTGTGTTGTATCGGTGTTTCACAGGCTGAGCTCGGTTCCAGCCGACGTCGGGGGCTGGTCCAAAAGCGGAACGTCTCGGACCTAGTGCCATCCTTTGTGGTGGATGAGGGGCTGAGCAACAACATGGCGACGCCGGTCAAGGGGAAGCGGCCTCGCACACGCCAGACCATGTTGTTAGGGCCAGCAGAGATCAGTGCCTACCAGAGTCAAGGTGATGCCCCCGCAGTGGATGACGTGGGCTAGTGGTGGCTCCAGAGGTTCGTGTGTTGAATTCGGCGGGTAGACCTGGTGAATACAGGCAGTCATCGACTTACGAACATCTGTACTTACGAACCATCTTCAATGAGAATTTTTTTATCATGTAACCAGCTGGTGAACTTGCACTTGCGAACTAAACCGGGGAACTATTTTGGTCAGTGGAGCGATCCTCCACGAGATGTAATGAGTCACAGCATCCCACTGGGAGTGAGTGTTTGTCTGTGTGTGCGCGCACATGTATGTGTGTGTGAACGTGTGTGTGTGTGTGTGCATGCTACGAACCCGGTGAACCGAGTTCGATTCCCGCTCACGACCAACACCTGTGACGATTATCTGAATGGGTCTTGGGGCTCCCTTAGATCGACTCAGCCTCAAATGAGTACCTGGTGTGGTGTGTAAACATTGCCACTGGGGAGATAAAGGTGGCCGGCCATGGTGTTGGCCACCTACCCCCTCGTGTGCCGTGCCAACCTTCATTGGTGCTCGCTAACAGCACTTGCTCCAACAGTCTGTTCAGGCGACACGGGGATCTTTCTCTTTTTTGCGTGAAATTGTGGGGACTCATTACTCCATTTCCGACAAGCAAGCCAGCATCAGGAACAGATTTTTTTTCTATTTATGTTACTTTATGTTAGGTTTTCTTTACTCTACAGTATTATATGCAAGTGTACAATGTTTCTTCTTATGAGTTTAACAATGCTGAATCGCAACACATTTTGCAACACTAACCGTATGTGCATTTGAAAACAGTACATGATTGTGTTCTGACTTATGAACCTTTTGACTTACGAACGGGTCTCAGGAACGGAATCGAGTTAGTGAGTAGAGGACTGCTTGTACAGCGGTGCGTATTAACCTTTCAAATATTACTACCTGTCTGCTTTGCAGTGGATGTTAAAACATCCCGTGACGTAATTCGGCACGAATATGCCATTGCGCGCTGGCGTCACGGTCCAAATTTGCAAAATTTGAGTCACTTTGCGTGCCTGGGTTCTTCGCACATGCAGCATCCAGTCTCTACAACTCATCCCAGAGTGTGTGAGGCTACTGCAGGCCTGCAGGGGGATGTGCGGTGAGACATGGCTGCAACTGTCGTGCAGGAATCGGCGTGAATCAGAGCGTATTGCTCGGCCACGCCTGCAAAGCGGCGGCGCTGGATCTGGAGGAGTTGTTGCTACCCATGGACGCCCTCCAGGGCACTGCTGCATCCAGGCTGGACCCGGCTCCTCCGTGCCCCCCGGCCGTGACAAACAACGCAACGGCCAATGTTAACTCCAGCAGCAGTAGTAGCAGCAGCAGCAGCGACTCTGAAGTGGAGGTGAGTTCAATTTGGTATATGACCTGTGGGGTAAAGAGATCTGCTCCCTAGTCCAATTAGATATTTAGAGCCTCAACGGTGATGCTCCTTTCACATGGAAAATGTGACCCCCCTTTTAAAATTGTGAATGCATCACCCGGCCTTGCATTAAAATGCCAGCCCGTAGACTATGCAGCGCAATACTCCCCCAAGTCTCACAGGCTACTGCTGCCCAGCCCCTTATTGCCTATCCACGACATTATAGCCTCATTAGGCACCCCACATCATAAACTCTTTTCAGGCTCTGCATGTGCACTGATGTAGGGACGTCGCAAAACGCTTCCCGAATTAAATTTAAGAATTCACCACTCATCCTGGTTTGCGAGCACACAAAGAGACAGTTAATGGTTGACTTCCTCAATTTACCAGTCCTTTGCAAAGGTTGGTTGCTAGGTACAAATGGCAATAACAATCATTGGGGACGCGTGCGAGTCCGGCGGTTGCCATTACACACCACTGGAGTGGGATAAGACAACAACCCACGAGGGGCGTTGTGCATAAATCACAATACATCATCGCAAATATCCACGACATGAAGGATGGGGGATGAGGTCATTGGGACCACCTACCACTGCTCACCTGAGTGACGGGGAGGGGGGGGGCTGCAGGAGGAGGGGTGAAAGTGGAAGGCGATTGGCCGGGAGGTTTGAACAAAGGAAAAGGCTGGAAAGGGTTCAAGGAAAATGCGTGACGTGGGGGGGGGCATCAGACATGCGATGCTCTACGTGTGCATTGGCCTGTTCAATAAACACTCAAGTCATCACCGTAAACCCACGTTGATTTTTCTGTAACTTAATTCGACTTTGGTTTGTAAAGTACAGTTAGACCTCTTCGTGGATTTTTCTTTTGTGAGATTCGATTATTCACGATGCGACCCCGACGCCTGCTGTATATTTGGAGTTTGCATGCCTATCTCTGTGGTCGTGTGGATTTTTTTTGGGTACTCCGGTTTTTCCCTCCACACTTAGAAACATACGTTTAGAGTATTTGGCTGCTATAAATTTCCACGTGATAAGCCACTACTTGAGCTATCATTTGTGGCCAGGTCGCTTCTCAAAAAGAGTTACATAGCTCGGTGGGCCTTACCTGGTAAAATACTAATTTTTTAAATAGTTTAGTTTGAAATTTATATTTGCATACCATTTGAAAGTTCTCCCCTTTTTCCTTAAATGATTCGCGATTTGGCATGATCGCATCTTGGGGGAGGGATACTTTACTTGCACAGTACAGGAGTGTATTGTGGATCGTTGTGCCCGTCAAACACATGCTGGAGCTTTTATTCTTCAAGTGCCGTTGCCTTTTGTGCCATTTTTGCGCTGTATTTGCCTCATTGGTGGTGTTTTTTTTTATTTGAATCAATTGGTGGGGGGGTTTAAGCGTCAATTGAGTGGGGGGAAAGTGAGATAAAAAAAGAGATCAAAAGGCATAAAAAAGTCACGAGCTTAGCTCAAAAAGGAAAGTTGTGTTGGATAGACTTGCTCACCATGGCTGTAGTGCGTTTGCTGTTGGCCGCCATTCCATGGTAAACGAGTCAACGGTTTTATAAAGGAAAAAAACGAGAAGGCGATTTGGGAAAGTGTGGCAGGAAGTGCACCATTGACCACCAAAATAGTACCATAACACCCCCATTGTCATCCAAAGTGAATTAAATGTTCAAGTTATGGTATTTTATTGATGGGTTTTGTATGATTTGTCTTATCTATTTGTACTTTTGTAAAATGTAATTAATTATATGGATGTTATTTATGTGTACAATATGGGAATAATGTTATGAAACATTTTCATGTTCTCCTGTATGTTCAGTTTGACTCGGGAACCCTAACCCCCTTTCGCCCATATCAACATCGTATCCACATTCGGAAATTGTACTTTCGTGCAGAATGTCAAGAACCTAATCTTCGCAGATGTCGAGTCCTTCCTGTAATTTGTCTGAACCCACTTTTGAAAGGGAAAATCCATCATCCTTAATATTGATTCATGTTTGTGCATTGTTTTACGATTTATTCTATAATGCGGTGGTTTATTGTTACCATTTATCACTGGTTGATTTTTGCTCCAATTTTGCTTAGTTAATGTAATCTTTTTGGTGACCTGAATCACTCTTACAAATGAGACTCTTATCCTGGTCTCTTTGAGTTGCCAGCTGGTTTAACCAAACACAAACTTGAGCTTGGTGCGTAGGCTGTGAAGTGCTGATGCCACTTTATGCGCGAAACCCTCGGCAGGCCGGCATGGAGCAGCTGTCATCTTACGAGCGCAAGAGACTTCGGAACATCCGGGAGAATGCAAAGTTCCTTGCGGATCTCAACATCCAAAAGGTGGCGACACTTGCATACAGAAACGTGACACGTTAGTACCCCGGGGGGGGGGGGGGGCGTTTGGATATCTCCTGATAACACTGATGTACGTGTCTTTGTGTGTGTGTGTATGTGTTCTCACTGTTTCACGCAGGCGGTGGAGAGCCTGAAAGAAGTTAATAAACGTTCACACAGGTGTGTTCACATTCTGTTATTTTGAGGGACTCGCTCCATGCTCACTCATGTTTTAACATAATAAAATTAGTTACTACTTTGCATAGGAGAGCCATACTCAGTCCAGAGATTATTTACAGAGGGCTCCTGCTGCACTGGAATGTGTGATCAACACCAGTGACATGCCATGCAATTCGAATAAATGACATCCATTTTACTAAGATAAAGAACCTTCCACTAAATATTTGCAGAGACGTGCAAACTGAAAGGCAATTTTTTCTTGCCAACAACATACTTAACCATCAACAAAGACCTCAAAAATGTACATTGCTGCTGGCTCAAGTCCTGATCCGCCCCTCTGGGATCGCGCTGTCATCATCCTAGAATTTCACCCATATCCAGAAGAATGCTCTTGAACAACGCAGACGTCCAGAATAAACAACTCTTTCAAAATCTAAACATCACACCTCCTGGCTTGGACATTCCTCCTCGAAGACGTTGGTGTAATCATCAAGCATATTGGAACATCAACAGGCCGACGATGCACACATCTTCACGAATGTAAATTTAAAGACAAGCCATAGTCAGGTGATTTTGGCCGTGCAACCCAAATTATTGACCCTAAAGTAAACCACTGTAGTCTGTGCTCCTTCAAAAGTGGAATAACAAAACTACACATTCCCTCTGCTGAAGCCCTCTTGTGGCTGGTAGACCTTGACATTGGCATATACTGTAACTGCTAAACGTGTTGCTGCCATCATAGGTGAGAACAGAATATAATTGCATACGATTAGCTATGGGAGGAGACTGGAGAACCCAGACAAAGCCCATGGGGGGGGTGGGGGGGAATAAAACCTTCACACAGAATGGCGCCGGTGTCGGGAATCGAACCTAGGCGCTTCTTGCCATTGGGCACAAGAGTTACCGCTGTGCAATCTAAACCATGACCGTTACCATTCCCCCCCCACCCTAGGTCCAGAGTGAAGGTGAAGCAGCCACCGCTGCCCCTGCGCAAGCCGTCCCGCCGCTTGCGCAAGCTGGACCCGTCGGGCGTGCCACTGCCCGAGGAGCAGCCCTTGCTCACCCCAGCAGAGTCTCATGTGGTGAGCAAGTCCTCATGACACCGGATCATTGTTTGACTGGTTTTTACGTGACCAATTTAGTCATTTAGATTTTTATAATCACCGAGTCGGCCTGTGGCTCTATCTGCAGCACAAAGGCCATGCCACTGCTGCCTGCTGCGTGTGTCTCATTGTGCGATTTTATTACCTCAAATCAGCAGGGAAGGTAATATCTATAAGAGGTTTTGTTTTAGTTCACGTTAATATGAATTCTGTGGCGGGTTCAATGACACATTTATATTTACATAATCTACCCCAAAAAAACCCCACTCATGGATAATATTGGTCGCAAAAGCCTACGTGTTAAACCGAAGGTAATAATAATTTACACTTCTAAAGCGCCTTGCACCTGGAGATCACAAGGCTCTGTACAAATTCTAGATTTGAAGCTTTCGTGACTGCAATGATTCATATTCTTAGGTTTTTTCGGTAAAGTCACGTAGGTAAAAAACATTAAAAAGTAAAATAAAATAAAAATCACGACGTTTTGGAGGCAACACAAGCTTCCGTCTTCAGGTGGTACCGTCACAGCACGATAGCTGTATCAAGTAAATGAGAGATTGCAGGAGCTACCACTCCGTTTATATAATGGTTGGAGAAGGTGGTGGGGCAAGGGCCGCATACTTATTATTAATATGGTAAGGTGAGGCTTAAGACTAAGAATAGACTGCATAACAAAGGACACCCTAACAATAATTGAGGACTTAGTCCAACATGGATTGAATTCTGATGTACCTGCGCTGGTTAGGCATTGCCTCACCAACACTTATTTTACCTGGAATGGCACCTTCTACAAACAGAATGAGGGTACCCCTATGGGCTCCCCCTTGTCACCAGTTATAGCCAACATGTTCATGGAAAAGTTTGAATCAGACGCCATCCAGACATCCACCCTGCGTCCTTCCTTTTGGAAGAGGTATGTTGATGACACTTTCGTCATCTGGCCACATGGCCTCCCAGCACTGAACCACTTCTTAGACCACATCAATTCTAGACACCCATCCATCAGATTCACTATGGAAGTAGAGAAAGACGGCAAACTACCATTTTTGGATATTCTGTTTGAGAGGAGACCTGACGGATCCTTGGGACATTCTGTCTACAGGAAAGCCACCTACACAGATTCCTACTTGAAACCGGATTCCCACCACCACCCATCTCAAAAGAATTCTCTCATCAAAACGCTTTACCACAGAGCACATGCCATTTCTGACCAACACCACCTGGCCGGTGAATTAAGACATGTACATCGGGCCCTCAGGATGAACGGATACTCTGACCGCACTATCCGCCAAGCTGTTTCTCCCACCATACAGAAACAGCCACATGAAACTCCGACCAAAACTATCACGTTGCCATACATAGCAGGCGTGACCAAAAAGATCTCCAAAATTCTAAACAAACATAAGATCCAAGTCCGATTCAGTACAGTGCATAAAATCCGTGATTTGATTCCATCTGTGAAGGATGTCGTTCCTGACTTACAGTATCCTGGAGTCTACAAATTGAGTTGCATTTGTGGTGATTGCTACATTGGAGAAACGAAACGTCATCTTTCTGATCGTGTCCGCGAGCACAAGTCAGATCTGAAACACGGCAGAACTGATTCTTCGGCCGTTGCCGATCATTGCTACAACTCGGTGGGCTCTCATGAAATTGTATTTTCCGAGACCAAGGTTCTCTGCAAACCTCCTGGCTACCATCAAAGGTTTGTACACGAAGCCATACAAATATACAAACACAGACATAATTTCAACCGTGATGACGGTTACAAACTGAGTAATCATTGGAAAGATGTGATTAACCATGCAAAAAAGATTTAACTACACTTATATGCCAATCTTATTTGACAGACAACCATTACAGTTTTACCATGTTTAGTGGTGGTCTCCCTGTCACAGGTTGAGTCACAAACCGCACCTCTCCATAACAAAGGCTCAGCCTTTGTTATGCAGTCTATTCTTAGTCTTAAGCCTCACCTTACCATATTACCACCTTCTCCAACCATTATATAAACGGAGTGGTAGCTCCTGAAATCTCTCATTTACTTGATACAGCTGTTGTGCTCTGACGGTACCACCTGAAGACGGAAGCTTGTGTTGCCTCCGAAACGTCGTGATTTTTATTTTATTTTACTTTTTTATGTTTTTTACCTACGTGACTTTACCGAAAAAACCTAAGAATATGCTCTGTACAAAACATATAAGCATGCAGGCTCACGCCAATAACATCGAACCCTGAAACAAAGGAATCAGAAAATAGAAAGAGCCCTAAAAAATAAGTGTGTATTAAGTGCACGGTTTGAATAAAACGAGGCAGTCGGCACAACGAATGTCCAGTGGAAGTGAATTTTACATCCTGGGGGCCACGCGAAAACCTCGTACAGAGATGTGACCTGGGCACACACAACAGACCAGACTTGGAAGACCAAAGTTCTCTTGTTAGAATACATGGCCGAAGAAGGTCCTGTTTGTATGTGAAGGGAGTAACATCATTAACAGCCTAGCGGGTGAGGAGAAGAATCTTGAACTCTACTCAAAAACCAGACCGGCAGCCAATGGAGAGATGTCAGCACAGGTTCAGTAACCGGCTTGCACGTAATAATTCTGGCAGCCACATTCTGCATGCGTTGCATGCGACTTTACAGTTTAAGGGGGATGCCAGCAAACAGTGAATTACAAAAATCAATACGAGAGAACAAAAATAAATGAACCAGCTTCTAATTGTCCGATACAGGATGGGGGTGCTGCCTGGCTATATTTTTAAGATGAAAAAATGAAGCCTTAGTGACCTTGTTAATGTGCACTTCAAAGTTTAATGAGGCATCAAAGACAACCCCAAGACTTGGAACTGCCTGAGTAGCACCAATATTGTGGCCATCGATTGTCAGATAGACCGAACCAGGTTTATAAATTTGGTGTGGGGAGACCCAACAAGCAACACCTCCGTCTTATAAAAATATAACTGAAGAATGTGGGATTGTCTTGATAGACCTGTGAGAACCTGACAGACTATAAGCAGATGCTTGAAAGGCAGATTTAGCATGAATGTAAATTGTCATCAGCATAACAAGGAAGTTAAAGACCTAGTTTACATAAAATATGACCGAGTGGGGTCATATGTATATGCAAAACAAGATTGGGCCAAGTAGGAAACCCTGAGGCACACTAAATGGAACAGAACATGTATCGGATTGTTGCCCTCCAAGGCTGACAAACTGCTTTCGATTGGAGAGGTAGAAAGTGAACCAGCTCAAGGCAATGCCAAAAACCCCCATGTAGCCTTCCAATCACTCGAGCAGGATGAGATGATCGACAGCGTCAAAGGCAGCGCTCAAGTCCAAAATGACGAGAACACTAGACAGGCCTGCATCTGCAGCAACCAATACATCATCCACAACCAGGGCTATATCCCTAATGTAACCAGGCCTGAAACCAGACTCAAAGGGATTTTGAAGGTCACTGACGAGCAAGTGGTGTTGGAGCTGCATGGCAATAGCACGCTGTGGAGGACCTTGGGAGAGGTAAGGCAGATTTTGAGATGGGGAGATCATTACTGATGACCTCAGGTTCTCAAGGCCAGGCTTCTTAAGCAGAGGCACAACCATAATTGAGTGAATTATTAAAGAGATTAGCGATGAACACAGCAAGAGATGGAACGTTAGAATGAAAGGGCTTGGAAGGAAAAAGATCCAGAGTGACAATAAGTGGGCTGGGATCTAACTACCAGTGATGCAACTTCAGGCAAAGAAAGTAAAAAAAATACTGAGAAATTTGAAATCTGAATTAGATTGGGAATAGTTCACAAGGTGGTAGGAGGCAGAGATTCAATGGAGAGATGGATTGTGTTGATTCTGTTTTAAAAAAATACTAACGAAACTAGTCAGCTTGGTTTTCAGTTCTGGAAAAGAAATGTAATAAAGGTCGTGGAAGCGACTTCTGGAATCCGGCCTTTATTTGTCTTTCGTTCACAACATGGCAGCCTGGACCTCGCTCCAGCGTGGTCTCACCCTTCGTTCGTTCCAGATCTGACCACGTGTTGTCCGCCTCCACCCCTTTTAATACCCGGGTCACGTGGTACCTTTCCACCAATCCTGGTTAACCTCTATGGAATCTTCTAGACTCCATCGTACACTCCCAGGACCACGCCCCTGACTCGTCCCCCCATTGGCTGTGGCTAAAGCCCTCAGAACCAATCCTCTACTTACAGATGTCACCTTCCCATTACGTCAGGACCACGCCCCTAGACTTCCCCCCATTGGCTATGGGCCAGGACCGGCAGAGCCAATCATCGTAATGAGGTGTGATCCATCAGCAACCCGAATATATCCTCACATTACAGAAAGAAGGGGACAATTATGGATGTAAAAGTCTATGAACAGTTGAAAGTAGTTAAAAGATAGCTAGTACAAGAAAAATCCAATGCTTTTCTGTACAGGCAGTCCTCGACTTAGGACCACCTGACATACGAAAAACCACACTTATGAGAAACCACCTTCCATAAAATAGTATTTTTAATATCGACTTAAGACAATAACTCATACTTGCAAACTGAACCGCAGAAATATCTTTATCAGCAGAGCAATCATCCTGTGTGCCGCACCGGCCTTCATAGGTGCTCGCTAACAGCACTTGCTCCAACAGTATTTTTAGGCTATACGGGGGATCCTTGTCTTTGTGTGCAAATGTGGGGACTCATTGTGCCTCTTCCGACAAGCAAGCCAGCATCAGGACTCAAGGTAAGTGAAAATAAAACAAATATTTTTTCCTATTTATGTTCCTTAATTTCTGTTTTTTTTTACTATACACTTTTTAACAGTATTATATGCAAGTGTATATTTATTCTTGTGAGTTTAACAATGCTTTCCTTTTTGTTGAACCGTAACACATTTTCTAACACTGACCATATGTGCATGTAAATACAGAGCATGATTCTGTTCAGACTTATGAACCGTTCGACTTACGAACGGGTCTCAAGAACGGATTCCGTTCATATGTCTATGACTGCCCTATAGTTAGCGAACTTTTGCTTACAATTTGAGAATGGAACAGTCACCTTCAGCGAACGTAACTCGTCAACCTCTAGGCACTGCTCTTTCCTTATTAGGCCACGCATTTTCTTCCTCTTTTGGCTCTGCACCTTTCTATTTTAGGCCACACCTCTTCTTCTTTAGGGCCCGCCTCTTTCTGTTTCGGCCCTGCCCCTTCCTTCGTACACAGGGTAGGGCTTGTTTGGGTAGTGGACCAGGTGGGAGTGTGGGTGCAGCAGTGGTAGTGGTGGTGAGTTTGTTGTGAGAATTCCCCCAAAAATATAAAAACAAATATGTAGCAATTAGATGTGATTGCGATTGTTGTTATGTAACTCACCGGTAAGTGAGCCGAAACAATAGTAATAGGTGCATCAATAAATGCAATTTAATTTGTTTGGGCAGTGATTCGGTGGCAGAGGCTCTTAACGACACAAATTCGTTCAGATGATTACGTGGTCCAACCCAACCCTCTATTTTTAATCATGTTTGCTGCGAAAACTTGCAAATTTTGTCACCTGAGTGCGACCCAGGTCGCCTTGCAAACGAAGCTATTCCTCGTCCTCTGAGTTTTCACCTGATTTAATAAAAATAAACCTCACACACACACACAACAATATCAACAACCACCATTCGCCACTAAGTGGCGGTGATGTCACCACGGCGCTTGTGCCAGGCTATATGCACGTTAAGGCCACACACATGCGCACGACGCGTCCTGCACCGGCCTGTGGATCTCCCGCATTGACTGCATGTTTGTTGTCACAGAAGCTCAGGGCATCCGGTCCACTGAAGATGGAGGCCACCAACCTGTCCACGGAGGAGCAGAATGCCCTACTCGAGGTGTGGAGGAAAAGCGAGGTGAGTGGGGGAAGGTATGCGCCGTCAGAAATTTGTGTTGCGTCTGATGTAGGTTCCGCGCTAGCTGTCGAATCAACTAGAGCAGTGGTTCTTAACCTTTACTGCAGCCTTGCACCCCTTTGTACTTACGTTCCCGTGCTTAATTTTTTGTTTCAATGATTTACCTTCTAAAAAGATCTGACATGTCTCGCACCCCCAGAAATGGCATCTCGCACCTCCAGGGGGTGTGTGCACCCCAGGTTAAGAACCACTGAACTAGAAGAACAACACACAACCATGCAACTGGAATTGGCCAAACATCCAAAAAGTGGAAAAATGCAAATGACCCAATTGGGATCGCACATAGCAATATTGCCCCCACCCCGACTGCAACATGTTTACAGGAGCTTCCTGAAGAAGAGTAGAATCGGTGAGGCGTTCCTGGGGTAGACGAGTGAAATAATACAAAAATAATTCCCTCTTGTAACTCGCACAGTATTCGCTCACACGAATAGTCAGAGGGAGCGAGAGAACGACTCAGAGGCGCGAGGGACCACAGACAAACGGGAAGGCAACCGCACGATTAGTCGGCGCCAACTTTTGCCCCAGCAATGCGGTCCTCTATATTTTAAGGTGTTATCAGCCAAATTAATGAGCGTCTATACATGTGGAAGGAAACCGGAGCACCTAGAGAAAACCCACGCATGTAAGGGGAACACTATTCTAATCAGAGAGAATGAGTGGAGTCGACATTTTTGTTGTTACTGTCTTTTGGCAAACCAGGATATGGCTCTTCGACGTCCACGGCAATGGAGTTTCCCAACAATTCTGCGATCCACCAACCCTCACTGCCTCCACACTGCTAGATTAGAGGTGCGTGCATAGCCACCACCAGAGAACAGCTGCCATGAGGGCAAGTGCCTGTTAGCGCCGAGCACATTGGTCAGTCGATCAAAATCTCTTTAACCAGGAGATGAAACTCACCCAATGAGGCACGCAAAGCAAGATGAGTGTGTCTTTTGGACGGGTGACCCGGTGTGCTGATTGGCGCACGTGTTTGTATCGTCAAAGCAGATCGTTGAGACTGATGGTCGCGAGCCTTGCGGATCTGCGTGGCTACTTGGGTTGCGTCAGGGCAACTGCCGCATCGCCAAGGTGATGAGGGAGAAAATCTGCTCGGTGGCTGTGCACCCAACCATGGACCACGTCCTCGTGGCTGCTGGGGACAGCCAGGGCAACGTGGTCTTCTGGGACCTGGTGAGTTCAGCACGAAGGGAATTGTCGTGAGAAAAGGGACTACTTCACTCCACTAACGAACGAGCTGAGCATCATCTGTAAACTCATCTGCGTGTGAAGCTGTTACTGGACCACGAGCATGGATCTGGTTACAGTCGTGACCGATGGTGGCACTGAAGTGATGCCACACGCACCGTGACTTCGTAAAGCAGGTAAAGGTGCAGCCCTGCAATATTTTGCTCCCTCCACGTAGAGTGAACTCTGCAGGGTATTTGGCCTACTCTTCCATGTTGACCAGACGTATTGGAGGAGGTGTGGGTGTAGTCACACACACCTTACTCCACCTACACATAGCCCTTCCTGTTCGACTAACTCTGGTGGTAGCCATTTATACTGCTGGGTGGACAGAGGCAGTTGGGGGAGATTTGAGAAACCTGCACCAATGTTTCCACTGCTACGCTGGAAGAATCTTAAGCGGCGACCTCTGGGATTGCCAGTCTAGCGCGCTGACCATTATACCACAAGTGGCAGCATCCTCATGACTATGTACAGGACCGAAATGTTTAAAAATAAAAGGGCATTTGCCACAGCTGTGGTGAATGCTGTTGTAGCATGTCTGTTCTTGCGTTTCCGGCCAGATCTATGAACTTCACGTCACTATACAGAAGCGACATTTCATATTAAAAAAAGTTATGTTATTTTGGGCAAAACGTGACTGGTATTCATACTTTGCAATGCATGTTCATATTTATATATTGACTAGCGGGAATTACCCGGCGTTGCCCGGGTTTTAAAAATAATTAAAAACTACTCTTATAAATCTAACAGCAGTGCGTACTGACTGTGGTGGTACCTGCTATGATTACAGCAATGCATACTTTGGTGGTACCTGCTATGATTACAGCAGTGCATACTGACTGTGGTGGTACCTACTATGATTACAGCAGTGCATACTGACTGTGGTGTGACCTACTATGATTACAGCAGTGCATACCGACTGGGGTGGTACCTGCTATCACTACAGTAGTACATGCTGACTCTATAGCAGTATTTATCGACTCTATAGCACAAAGTACCCACCTGACAGTGGCGTGGTGAGGCCTAGTCCCGCGTAGATTGTCCAGCCGGCTAAGGTGGCACCTTGGCAGGCTGGGGCTGGGCTGCTACCCCTGACCCCCCCACGATCTCCCCGGTCACTCTGCAGTAATATCTATGGCCTATAGTGGTAGCATCTAGTGACTATATAGTAGTGTAGTGAGTTCCAGGGAGACTGACGACGGAGTCGAGGCACACTCTTTTATTCAACTCAAGGGCAGTAACAATACTTGAAGGGGTAACGGCCCCTTCACACGTACTGGATGGGAAAACACCCCTAGCACTATTTCCCCTGTCCTATTCCCAGTCCTCCTCTAATAGTGCTATGGGAGGCTATCTGATCCGGCCCTGGTAAAGCACGGATCCCGGCACCCAGCTAACCCAGCCTTGCTCTTACAAGAGCAGAGGTCCAGAAGCTCTTGGGGCCGCGCCACTGGCTTACCCTGCTCGGCCCTGACAAGGGCAGCGAGACAGGGGAGTCCCAGGGCCTATTCTGCCGGTCTTCAGACTTCATTGGTAAGCTTCTTCCACCCTGGCCCCGAGCTCTCTGGCTCCCCGCCTTTTATAGGAATCCCCTGCGAGGGGTGGGGTTTTGGGGGATCACAGCGCCCCAATGGCCCCCCAAGATTAACGGATGCGGACGTGGATGTAGACACCCGTGTGTGGGTGCAGACACCCTTGTGTTTTCTGTCCGCCCTTCTCCCCGTAATAACCCCTACAGTAGTAATAACTACACGCATGGGGTTGGGGGACGACATCACAGAGTGAATAATTTACGTCGGCGTTTAGTGTATTTTTATAGCATTTCTAACGCGAAATAACAGGACCCTGCGGGGTGGGCTGGTAGGAACGAATAACCAAAGAATATAAACATAATGTATTATTACACTTGTTTAGCCAGGAAAGCCCCACTGAGTCTAAAGGTTTTTCTAGGGTCCTGCCAAGTGTTTGCAGTAGGGGGCGATGTTGCTACACCTAATCGGACGATACGATGGGAGAGTGTGAGGCCTAGTTCTAGGCTTTAGGCCTAGCTGTAGGCTTTAGGCCGCTGTGAGTTATTTTTTTATTTAAATGTTTAAATTATTTATGTAAAAGCTTTAAATGTAAATGTTTCTATTTTAAAAACATCAGGGAATGTAACATTGTTAAACATTAACTCCCTTTCACACTAGCGGGGGTACGATACGAAGGGAGAGTTTGAGGCCTAGGTCTAGGCTTTAGGCCTAGCTGTAGGCTTGAGGCCGCCGTGAGTTAATTTTTTATTTAACTGTTTTTATTATTTATGTAAAAGCCTTAAATTTAAATGTTTCTATTTAAAAGCATCAGGGAATGTAACATTGTTAAACATTAACTCCCTTGCACACACGCGGGGGAACGATACGAAGGGAGAGTTTGAGGCGTTGTTCGAGGCTTTAGGCCTAGCTGTAGGCTTTAGGCCGCTGTGAGTTAAATTTTAATTTACAAGTTTTAATTAAAAGCTATCTCAGGGAATTATAAGGGAATGTTACACTTGTTTAGCCAGGAAAGCGTCACTGAGTCTAAAGGTTTTTGTAGGGTCATGCCAAGTGTTTGCAGTAGGGGGCGATGTTGCTACACGGACGGACGGACGGACGGACGGACGATGTAATCTATTGTAGGCTGGTCCACTTCGTTCCTACCAGTAAAATGTCTCCCTCACTCCCACCGAAGGCATGCGACTTGGCATGGGCCGTTCCCCCCACCAAAGGCGCGTGAGTTGGTACGGGCGTGCACGCGTCATAAATAAATAAATAAAAACGAAGCACGCACAAATCGCTAATTAAACTAATTTCAAGTTGACAGATGTGAAAAAGGAATAGCGCTTGCTGACCGCGGGGCTTACGGCGTGGTGCCTGGCTATTTTTTATTTACGTCAACCCCACCGTTGGAGAGCCAAGCGTGCGACCACACAAAAACCCACACACAAACCCACCAACCCCGCCACAATTTTTGACTTTCATATATAGAAAAAGAATAGAAAATAGATAGAAGATAGATATATTGATATTACGTAAATATTTAATGCTTATGATGTCCGAGTGGTGAGATCCAATCATAGAGGGTTTGTTACTCAATAGCGACTAAAGGTGACTATTCATAGGCCTATTTAAACCCTGTTCATCAGGAAAAAAATGTAAATTGAATCTCATCAGAACCCATGGTCTGAAAGTGCAGTCTCCAACTCTTAGCCACTCTTTCTCTCTGGCCTTTCTATGTGCCTTGAAAGAGCGCCATTGTCGAAAATGTTGCCAACTATAAACCTTTTTCTTCTTGGTTCTTTTGGTAAAGTCACGTAGAAGGGAAATAATAAAATAATAAAAATAAAACTGTACTTTTTTATTATTTCCCTTCTACGTGATTTTACCGAAAGAACCAAGAAGATGAATCCCTGCAGTCACAAAAGCTTTAAATCGAAATATAAACCTTTTCTTTCATGGCCACAACGATATTTTGTTGTGTTCTCCCGCACCTCTGATTATCACGGTTAGCTACGTATTGTACAAAAGAAGTTCAACACACACACGTTGAACTTCTTTTGCACCATATATAGCCAACCATGCTAATCAGAGGTGCAAAGACATACATGTCAGCAAGATGTTCACGAGCTGAATGCCCAATATCGAGGTCTGCTCGACATGACGAGGGGACTTAAGGAGAGAGTTTGTGTTGTTCAGTTCCTCTGTTGAAAGAGCGCAGACTACACTGGTTTACTACATAGTCCACAGGTTTGGGTTGCATGGCTACAATCACACTACTGTGGCTTGTCTTTAATGTGTCTCCATCTCAGAATTCCTATGTATCTCTATGACTCCCTGTGTATATTTGTCTATATGTGTTTCATATATGGTCCATTGTTTGGGTCGCATGGCCACAGTCACACTGGCCATGCGTCTTTAATTTTCCATTCGTGGAGGAGCTGTGGTGCATTGGCCTGTTGATGTTTACTTCTGGTTGATAGTTACAGCAATGACTATTTAGGCATAGGAATGTCAAAGCCCAGAGCAGGTGTGCGATGATTTTTGGGTCTCGAATGAGGAGCTTGTTCTGTAATTGACGGATGTGTTGAGATGGATCACCAGGGGGCAGCCCAATACAATTTTACTGACTTGGCATATGGTGCTGTCACAGACTGATTCTTTTGATGTTCTAGAAGGGTTAGGAAGCTGCCACTTCACACACCTACAGTCAGTCCAGTGTGTGCTTACAACTAACCGATGCTAAAAACCTAAATATGAGATTTTGGGCCACCCAAAATTCAGGACAGACTGTTTTAAACTTTTATTTCATTCCATTTACAAAAGTTAGTCAATTTGGAGATACTCTTTGGTTTTTTCGGTAACAGTAATTTTTGCTGTGACGGTTCCACCTGAAGACGGAGGCTTGTGTTGCCTCCCAAACGTCGTGATTTAATTTATTTGTTTTCCTTTTTAACCTACGTGACTTTACCGAAAAAACCAAAGAGTATGGATCCTTGCAGTCACGAAAGCTTCAAATCTAGAAATTTGGAGATGTTAGAGCATGCTAAATCCAAATATGAAATCAAAGTTCACGTTTCGATTTAGTATTTTATTGTGTTTTACATTATATGGTAAAAAATAATTATTATTTAACCGTCCAAGTGGCACAGTGGTAGAGCGAGTGGCTCGCAGTCGAGCGGTAGCGAGTTCAACTCCTGGTTGGGTAGTTGATGTGGCCCAGCATCACTGCAGGGTTGATAAGTGTGCACCACTTCGTGGGGAAGTTAGCATTGGTTGTCCACCACCATAGAAACGTGGAATTTTCACCACTTGCTCAGGAAATGAGCACAGATGCCTATTGAGGCATGTGAGCGGGAAGTCACTTGGACTTTTTCATTGAATTCTCGTATGAAGGATTTTGTGGGTTCAACCCCAACACTGACACCTGTATTATTGGAGTTTGTGGTGTCTCTCTCCCCGTGATCACGTGGCTTTTTCTCTGGGTCCTCAGGGGTTTCCCTCTACATTTAAAATCAACACTCGTTTAGAGTATTTGGCTGTCATAAATATCCACGTAATAAGCCACTTCGTTGAACTATCATTTGTGGCCAGGTTGCTTTTGAAAAAAGAGCTATATAGCTCAGTTGGCCTTAACTGGTAATATAACATAGTTTTGATATCTAACTTCTCATCCACGCACGTCCAATCGGCAGGGGTTGCTAAATTTCTGGGCTCACCCTCCGCAACTGCTTGCAGGACTCGTCGCCGGGGGAGGCCGCCGCCGTGACTCTGTTCCGGCCGCACGTCGACCGCGTGTCGTGCCTGTGCTTCCCGCCGACACAGCGCACGCGTCTCTACTCGAGCAGCTTGGACGACTCGCTGCGCTGCGCCGATCTGCACCACGGTGTCTTCGATGAGGTCCGCATGGGTGGGTGGGTGGGGGTGGCGCTGTGGTAACACTTGCGGCTCGCGGCAAGAAGGGACCTGGGTTCTGTTCCCGATTCTGGTGCCTTTGCGTGTGGAGTTCCTATATTCTCACAACTGTGATGCAGAGTGAGCGTGATGAGTGTGTGAGCGGAGTGTGCGTGAGTCGTTTGTGCTTTCTCCCACTGCTACATGGGTTCTCCGGTTTTCTTCCAAAAACACACGGAATGTAACTGGCATCAGCCAAACATCCCACTGTTGAAGAATTACCTGAAAATTAGTTGGGATGACACAGCAGCAACCTCGTCCTCGACTGTGACAACTTGAGACGGCTGCTGGCCAGTCCTAGACTGGACGACACCATTCTACAGTGGCCTCTCTGTCTCGGCCCTGCCGGTTGGTTCCTTAAATTTTGTTCAGTGTATTGACGGTCATTGATGACAAGATGGCCACCATGCATTTTTGCAGGAAATTGGTTTTGCAAAGATGCTTGAAGCATGAGAGATAGTTGTACTCACCATTCATCTGCATTCACGATGAGTGGAAATGCCCCTCGTCCGCCTGTGGCGTCTCTTCATTTTACTCGTCCATCTTGTGGTTGTCCCAAGGTGTACGCCGGCAAATCAAGTCCACCTGTGGGCCTCACCAGCTTCGACTTCCAGTCTGAGGATGGTGCCTCGCTGCTGGTGGGCCGCTGCGACGGCGCCGTGGAGCTCGTCGACTGCAGGAGCCCAAGGTGAGGCTCCCACTGGGTGCGGGAGGAGGGCCTGTCTCCACCGGCGCTCTTGCTCCACAGTCTCACCCGCCAACTCGCCTGCCACTTTGCTTGCCAACTCACGCACCACCTCGCCTGCCACCTCACGCACCACCTCGCCTGCCACCTCACGCGCCACCTCACGCACCACCTCGTCCGCCATCTTGCTCAATACTTCGCCCGCCACCTCCTTCAACACCTTGCCCGCCACCTCGCCCGCCACCTCGCCCGCCACCTCGCCCCCCACCTCGCCCGCCATCTCGCCCGTCATGTCATTCGCCACCTCGCCCTCCACCTCGCCCGCCACCTCGCCCTCCCAACACAGCCGAGCGTGGCCACGTTGCTGTCTTCTCGCAGGAAGTGTGGCGAGCAGCAGTGGATGGTGCACCAGAAGAGAGTCCACTCAGTGCACGTGCACCCCACGCAGAGGCACTACTTTGTGACGGCGTCCACCGACTGGTGAGTGTGCGCACCTCTCACCACCCACCCTCACCGCCCGCTCACCCACCCACACCGCTCACCATCTGCCCTCACCACCCACCCACCCTTACTGCTCACGAACGCTTCACGCTCACCCACCCACTCTCACTCTTCGCCACCCGCCCTTACCGCTGCTCAATCAAGAGAAAATAAATGCTTGTGAGACTTCTTCAGCACAGCAAGGCAATGCAACACTCACATAAAGCCCGATCCATAGATTAGATATGTGGTTGAGATTTACCAACAGTTTTATAGCTTTATGATCATGGTAGTTGCACTTAGGCCGGATGTCAATACGTTTCTTAATGATGATAACAGTGGCAGTGATGAATAACAAACGCTACTGTATTTACGTTCGGAGGTGTATTTGTGATTCGGTTGTCATTAACCCATGTCAGAGCATCAGTTGTTACATAGTCCTAGCTGATTGGTAACCCAGTGTCAGCTTCTGTGAAGAGGTGGTTGTAGGTTGCCTGGGTTCCCTGTGTTTACATGGATTCCCAATGACGCTTGGCCGTGGTCACATGGTGGGGCTTAAGTCAATGCTTGGGAGGTCATAAATACCATGTGAAAGACCCGGCGCAGTACATCTCTGGCTTGGATATTTTGCAAAGCTTCTGGGCCACAACCCCAAAACCACTTCCGCCGCACAACCACAGCAGCAGCAGATGCTGATAGCTGATGATGATGATGGTGTTGTTGATGCACAAATATAAAATCCTCTGGCAGTGTGCAGAGACTGTGGTCGTAATTCAGACAGAACCATGGAACTTATAACGTAGACTGAATGCCCATTTCACGAATATGAAGGGAGAGAGGTCATCACCGATTATTCACCACTCCGCTACTCCTAATGAAGTCGTCTGGTTCATCATCCACCTCATTGTAAAAATATTTTTTTTTATCTCCATCAACATCGGCCATACAAATAAGAAAACAGAGCTATAGCTTCACAAGGAATCCCATAGACTCACCCAGAGCTCTCTATGAAGGAGGTATTGCCACAGAAATACACTCTGCTACTAATGTAATCATCTGGCTCATTATAACCACCTCAATGTAAAATTACATCTACATCGGCCATACGAATAAGAAGGGTATTTATACGTCTCTCGTATTGGAACTTGAAATTACTTGACCTCAGTTTTCGTTTGCTTAGACTTTCTAGAGGGCACAGCAGCAGCTACTGATGGGACAGCTCACAGTGGTGGTTTAAGGATTGGGGTTTATGCCGTCCAGAAAAATTTGGCTTATTTGACCTCGAACCCTTGACTGATAAAAAAATATATATATCTGCCGTTGGTCCGATTAGAAGCGAGCTCTGAAGTGTGACGGCACGGCCAAGGCAGCGCTATCAATTCACATCATATCCGGGGTAACGAGAGGGATAATGCAGAGCAGATGTTAACTAGGGTATAAGGAAGTATTTTATTGGTTACCTGCATACGGTGGTGGGGGGTGAAGGGTGCCTATGTTTCCTGTAAATCGGTCACTGGGGCACGAGTGAGGAGCAGCAGCTTAACCATTGCTGCAGTGTGCGTGCATGGCATGGATATGAGTGTGATGTAATGAATGTCCTGTTTCATTTCCTCCGTCGCAAGCACGGTTTGTGTTAAGGACACGTGTTAAATTAACGGTTATTTCGCAACCCGAACGATCCACACGTCGACAAATGATAATTTGCCGCAGCATCATGATTATTATTCTTTTAATTTAAGATGTTTGTTTACCCAGAAAAGATTCAGCGGGTTTCCTGACAATTTTTCAGGTAGGTTTTGCCAAAGTTTCGCAATGGATTGGGGGGGGAGGGGTGGGCGATGATCGCCTGTGATATGTAATCCACAATTAGTTAATTTTCAGGTAATTTATTTATCAGCATTGGGATGTTTTGGCCAATACCAGTTACAATGTATGTGTGTGGGTTTTAACGTTTTTGTAGTTGCAAAAAAAATCACAGAAATGTAACTGGTGCTGGCCTACGTAAACTGGAGTTGAGATGTTCCTGGATCTGTGATCCCAACCCCAAGTCGTGAGAGTCGATGATCGCGGTTGCAACAACCAGGCATACTCCAACCCCTCCTTAACGCTGTTCTCCCGTCACTAAAACTACACCACCACTTTTAATAACTCCATTCTTCATCTCAAACCACTACCATCTTGCGTACAATGTTATAATTGCTGTAAAGCACCTCGGAAAATGTGCTGTGTAAATATAGATGAGATAAGGTGTGGTGCGGTTTGTGGCGTCATTGTGCGATCAGCACCGTACAGATCCATGACGTCCGTGCGATGGGCGTGGGCCAACGCAGCGGCACCGCTGCCAACGCCGTCGCCGTGCTGCAGCAGCACAGCCGCGTGGTGCACTCGGCGTACTTCTCACCGCTCACCGGCAGCCGCCTGCTCACCACCTCCATTGACAACTCCATGCAGTGAGAGATGAGTCTGGACAAGCAAAGACAAAGATCCAACCCCCCATCCGTCTATAGCCTTCAACAGACTGTTGGAGCAAGCGCTGTTAGCGAGCATGTTTGAAGGTTGGCACACAAGGGAGTGAGTGGTCAGGACCACGCCTGGCCACCTTTGTCTCCCTAGTGCTGATGCGCTAGGTACTCATTTAAATAAAGATTCTGATTCTGAATGCTGAGTCGACCTAGAGGAGGCCCAGGACTGGTTAAGTCGAACTCGAGTCGCCGGGTTCGTAGCGCAGCACGCTAAACGCTGCATTACCGCTCCCCACTGATGCACATGCATTCGGCTATCCATCTGCTTGTACCCCAGCTTGAAGGGTCAGAGGACGTTCTGTTATATCCCCTTCGGCACGCTGGTCTCCAATACATGCACTGCCTGAGAGAGATCCGAAAGGACGCTTTATCTCGTGGCATGACGGTTGTGCCCGTAGCACAACCGGGATACAATTGGGGAAAATAAGAATGTGCTGGACCCCACGAGAGAGACGAATTAACCTTTGTAGAAGATGGCACTCGCCTAGAGGTGCTAGTGCTGATCGAGTCCAATGCACCTCGTCTGTCCCTCTCATCACACAGCTGTGTAATTTGTCACCCCGTATGTTGAAATCATTTCTCGTGAGAACTAAAAAATAAAGTTTAACACGTAGACTTTCGCGACCAATATCATGCATAATAGAGGTTTTTTTGGGTTACATCGCGTAAATATATAAATGTATCAACAAATTTGGCTGTCGCTTGATGAAGCTAGTTGTAATTACTGGCGAAGCGTTGTGCTCAGATTGTAAATGTTGTGGCTTGGCTCTTCAACGCACCGGTGTGCTGTACTAGTGACCAATTGGCATATTCTGTTTACGTGATAACCCTTACTAGTTGGCTGTGTCGGGTGGTGGTGGGTTTTAACGACACATTTATATATTTACGCGATGTAACCCAAAAAAAACCTCTATGGATAAAAAAATAAACTCAAACACTTTTAGTGTTGAACGAGCGACAGAAACCTGCACAGTGCCACTCTCTGATGTGTATCACTGAAGACTGGAGCATGGGCAGAAAGAGGGCTACTCATTGAGAATATCTGCTCCTCAATAGAGGTAGTGACGCGTTAGCCCTGGCGGCATGGTGGTGCCAGCACAGTTGTCGTGCGGCAGGAAGAGCCCGAGTTCAATTCTCTACTCGGGCATGTCTCTGCGTGGAGTTTCTATGTTCTCTGATCTGTTCTGCAGAGTGTGAGGAGTGTTTTGTGAGTGTGTGGAGTTGAGTGAGTGGAGCTTGTATGTTCTCTCCTCCTGTTCTGCATGGGCTTCCTCCAGGTTTTCCGGTTTTCTCTTATAGCTATACAAAATGTAGCCGGTATTGGCCAAACAAACATCCCAATGCTGCAAAAATGATGCTGAAAATTACTTACAAATTTGGGACTATACAGCAGCATCAGCAACAATGCCTCCCTTCTGCAAAGACTTGGCAGGATCTTTTTGAAAAAAGGGCCTGAGACCCGGTGAGACTTTCCTGGGTAAATGATCTGAAAACAAATGAAGCCATGGTGACGCGTCATGGTGTTACTCAGTGGGAGCTCTGTGCTCTTCTGTTGCCGCGTGTGTGCAGTGTGTACGACACCCGCGTTCTGGGCTCGCAGATCACTCGCACCGCCAAGATATGGTGAGTGGGAATTTTGCGCCACGTGCACACCACACGACCACCGCGATGGCCTCTTTGTACCCATGGCCCGTATCCTCTTCTTATGCACGATGGCAGCAGTAATACTTTCAGGAGCTAAATGGCAATGTCGAGGTCGCTGGCCACGACGAGAGGGCTTCAGGAGAGAGCTTGTGTAGTTTTTCTGTTCTTCCTCCATTGAAAGAGCGCAGACTACAGTGGTTTACTATATATTCCACAGATTTGGGTTGCATGGCTACAATCACACTACTGTGGCTTGTCTTTAATGTCTCTATCTTAGAATCCTTATGTATCTCTATGATACTCTGCATATATTTGGGATCCCGTGAGGACCCACGGCGTTCACGTGTTTAATGAGCCAGTGGCGGCCAATTAGGATGATTGTGTTGTGTACATGTGTCATATAGGTTTGTGGGGAGCTACGAACCCGGCGACCCGAGTTCAACACCAGTGACGATTATCTGAACCAGTTCTGGGCCCCATTTATATCGACTCATCCTAAAATGAGTACCTGGTGCGGTGTGTAAACATCGCCACTGGGGAGACAAATGTGGCCAGGCGTGGTGCTGGCCACCCACCCCTTCGTGTACCGTGCTGGCCTTCATAGGTGCTCGCTAACAGCTCTTTCCCCAACAGTCTTAAGGCTATATGGGGGATCTTTGTCTTTGTGTTGAACTAGAACAGGTTGTCTTGCCTTTAAACATCTGGAAATTCACCATGTTTCTAGCAAGCCTGACGTTGCCGATAAGACACTATACGTTTTAAACCGGTACAGAGTTTTTCTTGCGTTGAACGAAGGTGACCCCATTTTTATCTGACATAAGGAGGGCCGTGTTGGCTGATGGGATATGAAAACAGTACCTTTATTATTTTCTGGAAGGACAGATATGGGATGGAGGCGAAAATGTCTGCTGAATGATTTTGTCGGCATAATTGGCCAAGCTTTCTTCGCTCTGATTACGTGATCAATAATTGCACAATAAAATAATGACAACTTCTGCAGTTCCGTCACGTGGCAAGGCAGTTACAGGGGGCATTGACCATCGGCATTAACCCCTCTGCATTCTGCTTTGTGTAAATAACCATGAACACGAGTTCCACACACACGGCTCCGAACACTCGTAACCTACACTGAGCTCTCAAGGAGCAACGACTCAATAATATCATCACGTGGACAAACATCGTAACATTTACAATGCCTACTGTTAAACATTCACCCGCTGTCGGGTGAGCATGTTGGTGTGACGAGTGCGACAAGCGTGATGGTTGAATACCGCGCACGGTGGTGTCTACGCTGCACGTTGCTGCCTGTGATCCAGCGCTGTTGGACGGTAGCAGAGAGGTTTGGTAGATCACACACAGAGGTTGTGATACTTCCCTGTTCTGTCTGTATGGGATAGTATGTTGCCCCCTCACACGCTTGGGTTTTCTCCGGGTGCTCCGGTTTCCTCCCACATGCAAACACTCATTAATTGGCTGATAACACCTTAACATATAGAGAACCGCAGAGCTTGGGCAATTATTGTCATCGTCGGCTCCTGGTCACGTGGCCGTTGCTGCCTTCCGGCTCGTCTGTGGTTCCTTCTCGCGCCACTGAGTCGTCCTCTGTCTACGGGAGTGAGCAAATACTGTGCACATTACAAGTTATTATTGGAGGGGTGATAGCGATGATGAGTGATGAAAATGATTACGGTGATGACGACGATGACGAGGTGTTGTGGCGGTCCTGCCATTGTGCTCAGCCATAATAACCACACGGGCCGATGGCTTGTGCCGATGAGAGCCATGTGGGTGCCGGGCGGTGAGGACATGTGGATGTGCGGCAGCATGGAGTGGCCACGCCACCTCGACGTCTTCTCAGCCACAGGTGAGGAGGCCAACACTTGGTCCCCTACCCCTCATCGCCCCCTATCCCCACGCCGTCCCCTACCCCATGCCGCCCCCTAGCCCTCGTCCCCTAGCCCTCGTCCCCTAGCCCTCGTCCCCTAGCCCTCGTCCCCTGGCCCTCGTCCCCTAGCCCTCGTCCCCTAGCCCTCGTCCCCTGGCCCTCGTCCCCTGGCCCTCCTCGTCCCCTGGCCCTCGTCCCCTACCCCCTCGTCGTCCCCTGGCCCTCGTCGTCCTCCTACCCCCTCGGCGTCCCCCTACCCCCTCGGCGTCCCCCTACCCCCTCGGCGTCCCCCTACCCCCTCGGCGTCCCCCTACCCCCTCGGCGTCCCCCTACCCCCTCGTCATCCTCCTACCCCCTCGGCGTCCCCCTACCCCCTCGGCGTCCCCCTACCCCCTCGGCGTCCCCGAGGAGAACATGGCAGGTTTCGAGTTTATGTTGTGTAACCAGGTGTGACCTCAAGAGACTAGGACATTGTCTCAATTTGTCAGAGTGACCTGCTAAATGTTGGAGATATGATTAAGCGGGGTTGGACGTGTGCGCTGGGAGTGCGTGTTAGCGAGACAGGCATCGGAGTGGCCTCCATGAGTTCGGCGATCAAGGGGAAGACCAACGATCAGACGATGCGTTACCTTGGAGGTCCGCGTGTCTTCTGCGCGGCAGCTGCAGGATCTAGCAGGGGGTAGAATGCGTTGGCAGTGAGGTGTGGTGGAGACATGGGCAGCTTAGGCCACAATGACCTCTCGATCTTGCGTCGTTAGAAAACTTGTCCCATCGTTAGCGTGAGCCCCCCCAATGTCTGTGTGCGTCGCTTTCTTGTGGGGAAGCATCCTGCCTCTTATACTTGGATTCTTTCGCACGAATGCAGGGCAGAAGCTTCTGGTGGTGGGGAAGGAGGAGATATCGAGCATCTGCACGGTGATCACCTTTCACCCGACGCGACCCGTGCTCGTGGCCTGCAACTCGAGCGGGAAGGTGCACTTGTTTGCTGGCTTGCCCGGATCGCTGTGCCAAGATTCCGCCGCCGGCACCGTGTAAGCTCGGGGACACGGAGCGATTTCCCCAATCAACATCGATTCATATGCCCCTTGTGTCGAGTCACCCCTGGAGAATCTGTTCTTTATGATCGGTACAAATTATAAACGAATGCCGCCTGTAGAGTAATGGGGCAGATGAGACGGTGCAGACGAGATGGAGAGAGTGGGACGGGGCGAACAGGACTGGGTGACCAACACAGGGCGAGCGACATGGAAAAGAATGCATCGAGTCTCACTCGGGGGTGAAGTGTAGTTGCCTCGTGCGCGTATGTTTTTGTTTTCAACGTGGAGACCATAGATGTTGTTTTGTTGTATCTTTCCAGGGTTGCTTCCCTAAATCAGTAGTTTACAATCTGGGTGGTACTTTTGTCCAAAATCCGAGAGGTCTCCATAACAAATCGCACGGCTGTGCATTTGATTCGTTGAGCTCGGGCTGTTCGACTTAAAAGCGTTGCTCACCCAAGACAAGCTTGCAGTTGCCGCCACGTGGAACATGTAGGCGACTTGTTTCCTTTTTTAGTTCAGCTGCTGCCGGGCGGCGGCGGCTGTGGCAGCTACGCCACGCGTAGCCTGCAACCTATTACTGCAGTGGCAGCAACGAGGGCTGGTGAGTCGCACAAATATTCCGGAACTTCCCTTCCCGTGGACGTTGAGTAGTTGCTTTACCCTGGCTCGCCAGAAGAAGGCGGTACAGCCAAAATGGTGGACTCTACCTGTTCCGTCTGTGTAGGATCGAGTATTTCCCCCTCGCCGTGCGTGGGTTTTCTCTGGGTCCTCCGGTTTTGCCGGCTCACTTCCACGTCTGCTGCCTTAGTGCTCGTCACGTGTGTCCTCCTTGCGCCTCTCTCTGTATGAGAGTGACTCCTGCACAGCGGCGGTGGCAACGTGTGTGTGTTGCTCTTACGCCAGCGGCCACTCGTGAGATTGACGGTGTCTGTGCTTAACCGCAGAGTTTCCCCCGTCCGTGTTAATGTCAACATCACGATTTTTCAACGCTCGTTCACCCACGAAAAGCCTCCCCGTATACATCCCACTGCTTTAAACGACACCGAGCAAGATGTGTCCAGAGGCGCCTTGTGGCAAACATCTTTACAGTTACGTGGCCACTTGCATCAAACACCTCAAGTGCTTGTCCCTTGAACGCGCCTGGAATTAAATCGACCGGGCGAAATTCCCTTTGGTGTTTTATGCAATGTAAGTGTTCGTCAAACGACGTGGTTAATTATATTAATATGCCCAGTGGGCATTGTTTCAAGGGGTATGGATGAAGCCTAAGGTCACTGTATAGTGAGGGCCTTTGTCGCCTTGTGTGTTAGGCAGGCACGTGCCTCTCGGCCTGCTCGGCGTGCGCTCGCAAACCACGAGCTGTGCACGTTTCCGAGGGCCTGGGTGCTGCACCCATTCAAGCGCGGTGGTCTTTACATGGATGGAGAGACACTGACACAGTTAACCGCCGCGCTCCACTCACTTCGTGTTCACGGGTGCTGATAAGCTCCTTAACTGCTTTGCCTGGGAAGCATAATAAATGTTGCATTTTTTTTGTGGACCCTTCGCGTGTTTTCACTTAAATCTACGATAACCCGCTTAGCCCATTGCGAAAGCACGTCACCGCGTGTACACCCTGCCAGCCGGCAGGCCAGTGCCGGTTATCGGATTGGTGCGGTGGTTTTCGTGAAATATTGGCAACACCTTAAAGAGTGGCACGGCCACGCAGGAGCGTGATCGCTTTTACGTGAACTGGAACATGAGCACCTGGGTGTCCAGCTCCTGCACATACGACCAGCCACAGTCTCGCATGACCGTCGGCTCCTGGGGCCCGGCGCATACATCTGTCACGCGCTCACTTCTCCCAGTCGAGTACAAATCCCCTAACATGTATAGGGGTTCCCTTAATGGACTGCTGTGCAGCTTGATTCATTTTAGCTCGGAATCAATATGGATTTATACTGAAAGAATCCGATGAGCTCTAAAGCTTTTTTTCACAGATGTCCAGTAGTTTTCACAGATGTCCAGTAGCTCTTGGGCCCTGGCGAGACCACGTGGCACAGAAGGAAGGGAAGACCTGGGGCCAGGGGCCGGGGCCAGGGGCCAGGGCCCGGAGCTGACCGACGGGTGGTCGTGGCACCTGCACCGGGCTGAACACTTGGACCCCCGTCCCCTGTTCCCAGGTCATAGGTCCGTGCCGGAGGTCACGCATCCACGGGTACCCTACGATATTCGGGGTAGGTTGCTGATAAAACCAGAGCAGGAGAGCTAACAAAACAGGGCCTTGGAAATGCACTCGAGGTGGTCGGGTTAGTAGACTGCCCAAGACGAGTAGCTCGTTGCTTAGTTAATTAGGGCTTGGGTCAGAGGGTGGCTCGTAATAGTGGCTAGTTGGCGACTTTGTTAGGAGTTGGTCAGAGGGCTAGTACTAGTGAGGAGTTGGCTAGTTAGGGCTACGGTCAGTGGGTGGCTAGTACTCGTGGCTAGTTGGAAAATTGGCTTGGGTCAGAGGGGGCTAGTAGCTACTTGGTTACGGTTAGAGGACGACTTGTAATAGTGGCTAGTTAGGGTTAAGATCAGAAGGGGGCTGGTACTAGTGGCTAATTTTTTAGGGTTAGGGTCAGAGGGCGAGTACGAGTAGCTGGCTGACTAGTTCATTAGTATTAGTGACTGGCTAGTTGGTTCGGGCCAACGGGTGGCTTTTACTCGTGGCTGGTTGATTAGGGTCAGAGGGCGGCTCATATTAGTGACTGGTTGGCTAATTGGTTAGGGTTAGTGGGTAGCTAGTACTAGTGGCTAGATGATTCGTGTCAAAGGGCGGCTGGCACTTTTGGCTGGATAGGGTCCGAGGGCGGCTAGTACGAACGTTTCATTGGTTGGGATCAGAGGGCGGCTAGTCCTAGTGGCTAGCTGGTGACTCAGGTAGGGCCAGGGTTTGTATTCGGTTGTGTTGCTCCACCCTCAATCTGTTAAGCTGCCCTCTTCCCCGTGGCACCGCGTGTCCCTTGTGCTGCTCACAGCAATCTTGGTTCGATGGCAGTCTCAGCAGCTGGGGTTCGAGATTTCAGGTTTATTAAAATAACCGCAGTAAAACACGACCTAACCGCAACCAACACAGTACCTGCTTGCCAGGTGGGCTGTTATTATCCCCCCCCCACCCCGCCACTGTTAAATACCTGTACAACCATTGCCGCGTATTGAGTGAAGGACAGGTCATGTCGAGTCGGTCTGTCACCGTGCGCCACGATGCTGTTGCCCCTCTCTATATTGCACGGACATCGCTGCCACACACAATTTGCCGCTCGTTCAAGTGGGCTGCAGCTGTGCTGTTCACAGCGCAGAGAAGCGGCCGAGCTACGCGGTTTGAGATCATGGTGCGGGAAGCGGCACAGGCACCGCGTGCGCGCGCCTGTGCCATGCTCGCCACCGCTCCTGGATAGCATTTGATTTGTTGCTACGTTTGACCTTTTACACATGTTTGATTTTTGGACGATATATTTAATAAACACATTTAGTATTATCAATGACGTGTTAAAATACTTTACTTAATGTGTCCTCGGTTATCGACAAAATATGCCATCGGCAAATCAAGGTGGTGTTTTAAACGTTTTCAATCATCAAACGTATAACGTACGCCACTTGCGCCTACTGCATTGGCAACTCGAGCACGTGGCTCGTGTTGTGTCCATGTTGGATTTGGGTTGTGGTTAGCTCGTGCGATCGATTGCTCCAATCTTGCCAGGCGCAGGCCAAGTGCAGCTAAATATCGCATGATATTCCTTGCTTTGTTTGATCCTTTATACACATTCGCTTTTCGGAAATGTATTTAACCAGACTCGTATATCCTCAATTATCAACGACAACATATTCAACACGTTATTGAATATGTCGGCAATAGCTGAGGCTTTACCAAATAAGTCTATTAAATATATTGCCAAAAAATTAAGTGTATTTCAATAATCAAACGCAGCAACAAGTATCGTACCATGCTCCCGGCCACGTTTGCAAAGCTCCGCGGCGCTGCCGCCGGATTCAGGAGAATCGCAGGGAGTGGCGGGGGGCACGGAGTGGCCTCTGCACCATAATCCGTGCTGTGGCGTGACCGATAATCCACCGTACCAGTGGGTGGGGGGGGGGGCTGAGAGTTCCCGCGCGTTGCCATGGCACCCGGCTACCCACCCGCCCCACCTCACCTCTCCCTGCCGTGCCACCCTCGCTCCAACGCTTATGTGTAATATCGTGCCCGCCTAATACTTGTCGTTAATTAGAAAGCGAGTCACGGGATGGAAAAATTCGTACGATTAGGACTGATACACAAACAACAACAAAAAACTGGCTGTGAAAAGGAAGAGTTACAAAGCGAGAACAAAGATCAAATATAAAATAAGTTAAGTCACATCACCGTAACAGCATCGCTGCGTGACTTCGGTCACCGCCGAGAGAGAGAGTTCAGGCGAAGGCACGCTGCGTGCAGGGAGAAGCGGCAGCCAGCCGCTGGGGAAACGGGGCCCGGTGGGGCCCCTGGGTGATGAGCGGTGCACAGGGGCAGATAGGCTAAGCGGGGTTGCCCACGCGGGGACCTGTCGATCCGCACATCTCGAGGAAACCAAACGGCACGACGCCTCCTCGCCGCTCTTCCGCGACAAAGGGATCGCGGACGCGCTAGAGCGAGCAGGGCTTTGCCTCCGAGCACGTTGCCAAGTGCGGCGTGCCGCTTCCCTGCGAGGAGGACTCCTCCATTTGTGAGCGGGCCGGCGGCGCCATTCAACCGCCGTGGGAGTCCGCGAGGCCCGAGCGTCACTTTGATTTTTGTTTAAACCGGGCGAGAGCTCGAGAGGCCAGGAACCGAGTCTCGTACGCAAGTCACCAACCCCCTCCCTACCCCTCTCTCGGGGGCCTAATCGAGGTGGTCGCACGACTCGTCCACGCTGCCGGCCAGCGAGCGGAAGGTGGCGCCCAGCCGGCGCTGCATTGGGCAGAAGTACTCGACGTGGAACTGCGTGAACTCGGGCGTCCGCCTGAGGTCTCTGAGCAGCGCCACGTCCAGCCGCGACTCGAGCAGCACCAGCAGCAGCGGCACGGTGACCAGCACGACGGCGCACGCCGCCAGCACGGCGCGCAGGCCCGCACGCGCCACTCGGCCGTAGCGGTCGCGGCCGGCCGTCAGCAGTGCCAGGTTGCGGTCCGTGAGCCGCGACACCTCGTCCATCTCCTCCTCCTCGGCCTCCTGCAGGGCGCTCTCGTCGAAGTCGGCCTCGCACCAGTCCGCGTCCGGTGCAGGGAACTCCCTCCCCTCCGGCGTCTCCCCGTCCTCCGTCGGCTCCTCCGATTGACTCTCGGTGTCCGGCATGGGGTGGCCACCGCCACCACCGGTGGCGGTGGCCATCGTCGGCGCCGCTCGGCCCTGACTCGGTGGCTCCTGGGTCCCAGCATGGCCCCGCTTGGCCTCCGCAACTGGCACCTCTACAACCAGCTGCTGCTGCTGCTGCTGCCTGTATGCCTGGCCTTGGTGGCTGTTCTGTTGCAGATTCTGCTGCTGATTTCGCTGCTGCTGCTGCTGCTGCTTTTGCGTGAGATGCTTGTGCTGCAGCTGCACATGGTGCTGCGGGTGACGGTGAGGCTGCTGCTGGTGGTGGTTGTGCGTCCGTGCAACGTTGAGCTCCAGGCAACTGACGGAGATGCGATCGGCGGCGTCACCGTTGCGCTGGCGCGGCACTGGCGTTGAGTGGCCGTCCTCGTCTGGGAAGCCCAGGTCTGAGCCACAACGGGAGGAGGGCAGGGTGCGGGCGAGTGGTGGCGCAATGGTTAGCACTGCGCTGCACTGCAACCTTAACTTTTTAAACCTATTTTTTTCATTTTACCAGTTAAGGCCCACTGAGCGATGTAGCTCTTTTTCAGAAGCAACCTGGCCACAAATGACAGCTCAACGAAGTGGCTTATCACGTGGAAATGTATAGCAGTAGCCAAATTCTCTTAAATGAATGTTTCTAAATGTGGAGGGAACATTTTTTTTCTGGAGGACCAGGAGAAAAATCCATCCGACCATGGGGAGAACATGAAAACTCCAAATATACAAACCGACCAAATAGCCAAATTCGATTCCCACTCACGGCCGACACCAGTGACAATCATGTGAACCAGTCCTGGGCCTCTCATAGGTCGACTCGGCCTCAAATAGTGTGATGTATAAACATCGCCGCTCAGCAGATAGGCGGCCGAGACTGGTGCTGGCCACCCACCCCCTCGTGTGCCGTGCCGGGCTTCATAGGTGCTCGCTAACAGCACTTTCCCAAACAATCTGTAAAGGCTACACGCACAGCGGTTGGGAGGGGGGTGGGGGGTGTTGGTGTATGGCTGCACATGCCCACGTGTCGGTCTCCTGTGGCCGTGTGTCGGTGCGGTGCCACCGTTGCCCACCGTGCAGGAGGTAGCTCTCGGTGGCCGAGTAGAGTGGCGCCACGGCGTCGCGCGAGATCGTCGGGCAGCTCATGGTCTCCACCATGCGTGACCTGCGGCCGGGGGTCAGGGGGGGTCGGAAACGGCATCGGTAGGGCGGAAATCATAAGCCATGGCCGTCAACGGGGTTCGGCCCAGTCGTGGCCCACGACCAAAACCACTCCGAGGCCCGTAATTTTAGTCACGGCTCGGTCTAAGGTTCGGCTGAGCTGGCTCAAAAGCCATGTGCTTGAATTGAGCCAGCGCTGAGCTGTGGTGCCAGCCACAGTCAGATTTCCGAACTGAGGTTGAGTGTTAAGAGGTTCTTTCGGTACCGAAAGAACCAAAGAGTAATATTAATAATAAAGGTATTTTTTGGGTTAGTTCGCCTGAATATGAATGTGTCGTTAAACCCACCACCACCTGACACGCCCAATCAGTGAGGTTTGGCATGTAAACAAAACCTGCCAATTAGTTACTACTTCAGCCCACCTGTGTGTTGGACAATAAACCCACAACATTTACAATGAGTACGACCTTTCGCTGGTAGTTATATCCAGCATCATTGGGCGATCTAACCCAACAAACACTTTTATTATGAATAATATTGGTCGTGAAAGGCGACACGTCAAACTGCACCTGATCTGTTTCCATCTCGCAAGCTAAGCGAGACTAAGCTTGGGTTAACCCGGGGATTGTCCATCGGTGTCTTCACTTGGCGACCACTGCTATTGTTCCCCGGTTGAATGAGGACTATAAGATCCACCTCAGCAGCTTACAGCGAGCGGCTACACTAACGTCGAGAAGTTGCGAGTTTCAATCCTGGTTGGGAGCTGGTTAATGTGGCCCATCCTCGTCCCTCTGGGGTGGATAAAATGAGTAACTGCTTCGTGGGGGAAATCAACATGGACAATACTCGCCCCCACCATAGGAATGTGGAATTGTGACCACTGGCTCTGCAGGGCTGTAGAGGGGAGGGGGAGCAGGAGGTCACTCTGCCTCGCACTCGGAGACATCCAGCGAGCGAGAACGCAACAAGGTGCCCCCCCCCCCCCCTTCGTACGGCAGCGTCAGTTCGCATAAACGGTTCTAAATGTCGCGTTGCCAAACACGAGACGATGATGACAATGGCCGTGAACAAGTCGCAGGAACGAGTGGAATGTGGGGAAGATGATCGCACCCAAAGCCCCGTGGGCTCCGGGAGGGTGAGGCCCGGCCACGGTGGTGGTGCAGCAGCAGCGGCGTCGCCACTCAAAAGCAGTTAAACCAGAAACCGGGGAGGAGGGGCAGCCCCCTCCCGCCTGCCCCCCTGCTCGCCTGCCCAGTCGCCCGTTGGCCACCTGCTCGGCGATCCACCTTGCCCCCCCCCCCCCCCCCGGCTCGCCCAGCTGCTTACCTGGCGTCACCTGGCGTCACCTGGCGTCACTCAACAACTGCTCCACGCCGGTGACACCACAATAATCGCAAAAATGGGTCTTAAATAACAATCAACAATGGGTCTTAAAGAGCCACGCCCGTGGTGGCGTGCCGGGTTTCGGCTTGCCGTGCGACGTCGGCGGCGATCGGTCTTCCCGATCGCGTTTCGACGGTGGGGTGGGCATCAACGTTGTCACCACACGGAGAAATTTTCCATTCGGAACTCTCGCAGCGAGCAGTGTACCACCCCGTGCGACGGTGCAGATGCATGCACATTAGCGCGCTGCGCACGACGATCCATCTTTGCCGCACGAGTTCACTCCCTGCCAGTGATCCTCACAGACTCCACCAGTAGCTGACGAGTGGTGTCTGAACCTGTCCTGGGCATGCCTTTTAGGATAAATAATAATACTTATTATAATTTATTTATCCAGCAGAGCCACACAGTCATATGGCTCTCTTCAGGAGGGTCCGGCCAGGAAGAACCATGGGCAAGTAGGAAGGCAGCAGCCACGGTGCGAGCCGGCGCTACCAACAACTGCCCAAACTGTGCGGGCCTCGACACATGAAGGTGTTCTCAGCCAATGAATGAATGAGTTGTGTTTATTATACAAGTGGGACTAAACCGAAGCACCCAAAGGATAGCCATACATGCAAGGGGCCAACGCTCTATCACTGTACAGATGGAAACAGATGGCGATTAGTCCACTTGCTGTTCTGCTTTCTGGCGACCCGACCCAGGTTACGGCTCCTCATCGACGCCTACGGGGAGTTTCACACCATCCGCGTGTGATCCACCAACCCTCGCTGCAGCCTCCACAGCGTGGGATCGCAGGCTGCCACGTGCGTAGCCACCATTGCATCGATCGCTTGGGGTCGGGGCATCCGTGACCCCTCGTACATAACCCCTGGCGTGCCGCCGCTCAGAGCCGTGATCGCCGTCTGATGTGCCTGGACACCACCGGCGCTGGGTAAAGGTCGACTGCTGTCTGAGCTTCCCACCCCCTGCCCCCTCCGTGTAGTTCCCTTCACAGGTGATCGCTTTTGACACTTGCCCCCAACTGTCGGTATGCCGAATGGAGGGTCATGGTGATGGTGGGGACACGCGCGTGGTTGGGTTGTGTTGTGAGGTGGCGGTGGCGGTGGTCACCGATTCACGATGGGCGGGTGGCGCTGGATCCGGTTGCTCGCCTCCAGGACCTCCTTGGCAACGCGGCCACTGTGGAGGGGAACAAGGCACCGGAGTGAAACCGGCACGGCCGGGCAGCCTGGGCTAAATGTCTGGGTTAATCAGCCCGGGGTTAATCAGGGTTAAATATCTGGTGTTAAATAGGGTTAAATATCTGGTGTTAAACAGCCCGAGGTTAAACAGCCAGGTGTTAAACGGATCATTATCTGCTTTAAACATGCGAAGTTAAACAGCTGAAACTGGATCTGTAAATTGCTGGGTGATCTCATCTGCCCTGCGCCCCAAGGTCCGAGCGCAGCGAGCGATTCCATCTCCGTGACGTCCGATCTCCATCTCACTGCGTGAACCTCCCTCGCGCTGACATTTTAGGGACACATTCCTGAACTGCCCAAGCGGCGATGCAACCAAGACTGAAGGAACAAAGCAGAACTGAAATCGACACCGTTGACAGTTTGTGAGATCAAAAGTCCCACAGTCCGTTCAGTACTGGGAACCACCAATTCGGCAGGAGGACGTTGAACCTCGCAGTGGCGATCAATCGGGTGTTGCTGTAGCCACGAGACCGATGATGCTACGAGAGCGATGGGTTCACTAGACGACGAGGTGGTGGATGTCACCTGAAGCGGTGCTTGCTTCGCCGGAACAGCAGGTTACTGCTGGAGACGGCGCGGATCTGGCTCGAGCGCTCCAGCCTTCACGCACGCACACAGCGTGCGGCTCTCACGGTTACCCGCAACACACAGGGGAACCCTCCCCCCACCCCGCTACAGCCCTAACAGAATAGGGGCAAGTGCTTTTAGTGAGCACCTTTGAAGGCAGGCACGGCACGCGAGAGGGTGGGTGGCCAGCACTACGCGCGGCCGCCTTTGTCTCCCCAGAGGTGATGTTTACACACCGCACCAGAACCGGTTCAAATAATCGTCACCGGTGTTGGCTGTGAGCGGGAACTGACCTCGGGTTTCCGGGTTTGTAGCAGAGCATCCTAACCACTACACTACCGCTCCCCACATACTGCACAGTTACACACAGTTGTACATACACACAACACACGCACAGGTTATCTCAGTGACACACACACAAGTTTAGACAGACGGCACGCATTCATGAGCTTGCGTACTGAACCACCGACGCAAACACACACACACACACTGGCATTCATACAGAGGCAGGTACAACACACACCCACAAACACTACACACAGCGCCGCACGCACACACAATCGCATTGCCCTCAACGCGCCCCCATTGCATTCTCCAATCTATCCGTGCGGAGCTTTTAAGCCGTTTCCTCCGAGTCCTCCGGGTTTCCTCCCATGCGAAGCCGACCATTCACTGAAAATTGGCCCAACGTCCCCAATTGCAGGACCCTCCGGAGGCGAGAGCCTTGAGACTCGGTGAGGCTTTCCCTGGGCAAACAAAGATCGTGAGTGTGAGTATTACACACACACAGAAACATGCGGCACACAAGCAGTAGGCACGCACACACGCAAACACAAGCAAGCATACACAAGCAACAGGTACGCACTGGTCTGGCACACAAAGACCCCCCAGTGTGGCCTCTAGCAGACTCGTGCTGTTCAGCGAGTAGCACCTATGAAGGCCAGCAAAAGTTTAGCGGGGTGGGTGGCCAGCACCACACCCGGCCACCTTTGTTTCCCCAGTGGCGATGTTTACACGTGGCACCAGGTACTCATTTGAGGCTGAGTCGACCTAGGGTGAGGGAGGCCCAACCGGTTCAGATAATCGCTGAGAATATTGCTCATGAGTGGGAATCAAACTCGGGTTTCTGGTGGGTTTAGAACCGAGTGCGGCGCTAGCTGCTGTCCCACTGCTCCCTACTATTCTGGCTCACGCACGGACGCAAGCACACGAGCGAGCACAGACACCATGATCGCTGCTTGCGCTGCTGATCCGCTCAATGAGGCCATTGTCCGCGTGCCAGATGGGGGCAGCCTCCAGTAAATAGCAACAGCAGCGATCACGGCCCCCTCCTGCTCGCCATGTGCACCGCACGTGTATGTGCGCACGCCGCACGTGTGTGTGCGCCGCACGTGTGTGTGTGTGCGCCACACGTGTATGTGTGTGCGCCGCACGTGTGTGTGTGTGCACCGCACGTGTGTGTGTGTGCGCCACACGTGTATGTGTGTGCGCCACACGTGTATGTGCGCACGCCGCACGTGTGTGTGTGTGCACCGCACGTGTGTGTGTGTGCACCGCACGTGTGTGTGTGCGCCACACGTGTATGTGCGCACGCCGCACGTGTGTGTGTGTGCGCCGCACGTGTGTGTGTGTGCGCCGCACGTGTGTGTGTGTGCGCCACACGTGTGTGTGTGTGCGCCGCACGTGTGTGTGTGTGCGCCGCACGTGTGTGTGTGTGCACCGCACGTGTGTGTGTGTGCGCGCCGCACGTGTGTGCGCACCGCACGTGTGCGTTGTGTGTCTGTGGTCACATGGGCCAAAGTGGCGAAACTATAGGGGTGCTTTGGGGGCCCGCACCCCCACAACGCCCCCCTCTGTGTACCCTGCACCTCAATCCCTAACAACAATGACCACAACATTGTCCGCTAGTTATTTGGACCAGATGGCGGGACAATGGCAGCAGGGCAGGTCGCTGCGGTTTACTGCACAGCAGCAGACTGGGATCTGGCAGAGGAGTGCAGAAAGCCGTCGGTGCCATCCGCCATCGCCACAGCTCACCACAGCTCACCGTTGCCGCTACCTTCTGCCAGATCTCGCAACGGCTTGCTCCATCAAAGCCTGCGACCGCCACGGTCTCCCCATAGCTGGAGCCGCCATCCCACTGAGCGAGAATAAAGATCAACCATAGCCCGCCCACTCGCCCGCTCGAGGTCAACGTCCCTTCTCGCGAGAGTTGCCGAGCACCGGCCCGGAGGCTCACGCGGGACCCGCCCGCGTGCCGGCCCTGGCTTGCGCACGTGCAAGTGGAGGCCTCTCACTGGTAGAAGGCCTGGCTGTCCACGGCGCTCCTCCAAACGTGCTTGCAGGCCGTCGGCGACGCCGCGTGGAACGGCAGCGTGAACCTCTTCTGCCGGATGGGGGAGCGAGGCAGACACAAAGGACATCCCCCGTGTAGGCTTCATCAGACCGTTGGGGTGAGTGGTGTTAGTGAGTAGCGCCTATGAAGGCCGAAAAGGCACACGAGTGGGGCGAGTGACTAGCACCACGCACCAGGTACTCATTTGAGGCCGAGTCAATCAAGGGGAGGCCCAGTACCGGTTTATATAATGGTCACTGGTGTTGGCCGTGAGCTGGGGTCGTAGCGCAGTGCGCTAACCACTGCGCCACCACTCCCCACAATTACAATAACAGGTTCACACGCAATGTGACCGGGTGCTGTGCATAGGGTCGAGGTTGGGTTTAAGCTGCTGTGGGTTTGATGACGGGTTACAGCTCGCAGCCGAGCTTTGAATCGACTACTCTTCTACAACTCGTCGTATGCCCAGCGTAACCATATTTGGTCATGACGCACACCGACTTCACACCACCGTAATCTATCCCTGCATACGCCGGGTATCTCGCTGCTGCCGTACCGCAACGCCGGAGGCTCCGGTGGAGGCGCGAGCGCCGCTCACCTCCTTCTCAACGCAGTGCACGTGGAACGTCTTCCCTTCAAACTTCAGCTTTCGAATCTCCGACCTGGAAGGGGGAGACAGCGGGGGAGGGGGAGACGGCGGGGGGAGGGGCGACGATGGGGGGGGGGGGAGGCATTAATTGAGCGGCTGCGAGGTGTCCGGGAGCTTCCGTCACGGAGCGGCAGCTCCATCGCACCGCCACCACCGCCGCCCGGGAGCTGCCGTGGTCGGGGCGGGAAGCGGACCCCTGTGGGTAGCTGACCGCGCGCTGCCGATAGGACGCAGAGATTTACTCAGCTCTGCGTCTCGCGACGATCCCGCACGACGGTGCACGAGGGTCTCCACTGAGATGTCGCTTGGCGCACGCAGCAACAACCAAGTGACGGTGACGTCACCACGGTGCTTGTGTCAGGCGAGGTGCACTTTGATGCCACGGGAAGTGTCGAAGGTTCACTGGTGGCAGGTGGTGGCGGTGGTGGCGATGGTGGTGATGGTGGCAGATAGAGGGGGATAAACGTGCATGATACAGGCTGGAGAAGAGATGGACAGATGTGGTATGGGAGGACGTGGAGCTGAGTGGACTTGCCGATGACTGGTACCAGCGGAGTCAAGATCGGCCTCTGAAGGATACTCGTGAGGGATGCTACTGGGCAGTTGGAGGCAGTCGCCTTCCAACAACAACAGAGGGCAGAGGAGCGATGCTCACAACAATGAGCGGAGCGCCGGGCGGCTAAAATGGAGCAAGTTGGCACAGGAGGGGGCACAGCTGGTGCATTTGCAGTTGTCTCAGTCAGTCAAACCATGGCACCTGCTGGGTCTGTTCCGTGACCTGCCAGCAAGGCTTTGACATTTCACGTGGTCTCAAAGTGCACCTGGGCTGGCACGGACGCCGTAGTTATGTCATTGTCACTTAGTGGGGAATGGCGGGGTATTGGTATTGGCAGCGGCGGTGGCGGCAGTGGTGGTGGTGGCGGCGGTGAGGAGGTGGTGAGGGGCTGGTGAGGAGGAGCGGGTGTGCGGACCAGGGCAGGAAGATGACGCGCTTGCCGTCCTGGAGGACGCTGAGGCCGGGCGGCGTGAAGCCCAGCAGCACCGGCATCCCCGTCACGTCCTGCCGGTGAGGAGCAGTGGTGAGGACGAGCGGTGAGCACGAGCGGTAAGCAAACGGCCAGCAGAGGTGAGAACAGGTGAGCATGCAGGCACGAGTTGTCAGGCACGTGTGGGCATGTGTGCGAGAGTGGGGTGGGGGTGATCGTGTGGGGGTAAGAGAGAGGCGAATGCGAGTGGGTAGTGGGTGAGGAGCGGGTGAAGGGGTGGGTGAGGATGTGTGTGGGAGAGAGGCAAGTGCAAGAATGTGTGGGTGAGGAATGCGTGGGTGAGGAGTGAGTGCAGGGGTGGGTGAGGAGCGAGTGCGTGGATGAGGATGTGTGCGGGAGAGAGGCGAGCGCGTGGGGCAAAGTTCAAAGTGCGCGGCGTGTAGGAGCGAGGAGGCTCGGTGGGTGAGGTCGGAGGGGAGCCTCGTGTGTGCGCGTGCTGCGAGAGAGAGAGAAAGCGAAGGGAAGTCGAGCGCAGTGCGGGTGATACGGCCGCGTGGAATGCGTGGCCCTGGCTCACAGCTGGCCAAACGCAAAAACCACCCACCATCGTCTCCCTGCACAACCTCCTCCCTCACACCACGCAAAGGGGCTCCTAGTAATCGGGGCTCACAGCAGCCGGCAGGCCGGGCCCCGGTGACATGGGTGGGTGGGTTTGGTGGGTGGGCGAGGGGCATGCTTTGGCCGTGCACGGGACAAGGGTTAAACCTGGACTCGGGAACCCTTCGTCCTCACCGGGGAACGAACAGGACTTTCGAACGTCCTCTGGTGGGCAAGCACAAAGACAAAGATCCCCCGTGCAGCACATAACATAATTTTGGGGCAAGTGCTTTCGTGAGCGCCTACGAAGGCCGGCAAGGCACACGAGGTGTGTGGCCAGCACCACGCCCGGCCGCCTTTGTCTCCCTCGTGGCGATGTTGATACACCACGCCGGGTACTCATTTTGAGCCTGAGTCGACCTAGGCGAGGCCCAGGACCGGTTCAGATAATCATAACTGGCGTTGACCGTGAGCAGGAATCGAACTCGGGTTACCGGGTTCATGGTGTAGCATGCTAACCACTGCACCACCACTTCTCACAAGCACACGCATGCACGCATGCTCACGTACACTCGCTCACACGCACGCTCACACACACGCCCGCTCACACGCACACTCACACACACGCTCACTTGTGTCACTGCACGGCGCCTTGTGCACAGTGATTGAGTACCCGAATGAGAGAGCATGGAGAAATTTGCTGTTGCTGTGTCCAGGTCATGGGAAATATTCCCTGCCCACCCTCTAGTACCCGATTAGTGCAGCTAATATGATTATTACCGTGACAAATAGGTTTGATGTGTCCCCCTATGTGTCCCCTGGGCCAGAGTTAACCCAGGCCGGACTTGAAGCAGACATAATTAGCATCAAGTCTGTGCAGAGAAAGGCAACCCCTGGGAAGGTGAGTGGTGAGCGGTGAGCGGGCACTGCGGCGGGCTCACCCGGCAGGGCTGCGGGTTGAACCCGTACGTCTCCAGCTCCTGCACCTTCTGCAGGAAGTTCTCTTCGGCCTGCGCCGGTGTCTGTCCGCTGGGGACACAGACAGACAGAGAGAGAGAGACGCAGAGACACACAGAGACAAAGCGAAACACAGACACACAGAGACAAAGAGACAGAGTCACGGCAGGGGCTGTCTCTCCGTGACCGACACACGCACACACGTGTGTCTGTGTGTGTCTGTGTGTGTGTGTCAGTGTGAGTGGGGAGCGGTAGTGTAGCAGTTAGCACGCTGCGCTATGGACCTGGCGACCCGGGTTCGATTCCCGCTCACGGCCAACACCAGTGATGATTATCTGAACCGGTCCCGGGCCTCTCCTAGGTCGACTCAGCCTGAAATTAGTACCTGGTGCGGTGTGTAAACATCACCACTGGGGAGACAAAGACGGTCGGGCGTGGTGCTGGCCACCCACCCCCTCGTGTACCATTCCGGCCTTTATAGGTGCTCGCTAACAGCACTTGCCCCTACAGTCTGTTAAGGCTATATGGAGGATGTCAGTTTAAAACGGAGGAAGCTTTCGCGACCAATATCATCCATAATACAGGTTTTTTGGGGGGGAGGTAGATTGCGTAAATATATAAATGTGTCGTTAAAACCCGACAGCCAACTAGTAAAGGTTGTCACGTAAACAGAACATGCCAATTCGTCACTAGTACAGCACACCGGTGTGTTGGAGAGCCAAGCCACAACATTTACAATCTGAGTACGACGTTTCGCCAATAATTACAACGAGCTTCATCAGGCGACAGCCAGATTTGTGGATAAGTCCACCTGTTTCGTTCCTTATATAGAGGCGTAGATGTGCTGACCACCATTCTGCGATCTTGCGAAATGTGGGGGGGGGGGTTACTAAGGCAACGTGCATTATGCATTATGCGAGCCCTTTGAACTTGTCCTTTCTGTGTATTGTGTCTGAGAAGTGAAATTCAACATGTTAAATAAGCGCTGCAAATGAACGGTTAAAATTAATGCACAAATCAACAGGGCATTCATTGAATGCCAAAACCAAATCGAATAACACGAGCATTGAAACTGCCCAAGTTATTATAACGATCAAAATACCGTACATTCGGGGAGTAACTCATAAACTCGCCAGATGTTTGTAAAAACAAAACATCCGAGTCAGATTTAGCACGGTACATAAGATACAGAAATTCATATCTGGTACAAAGATGTATTACCGAAGCGATCAACAGAAGGTGTGTACAGGATTCACTGCACGTGTGGTAAATGTTATGTTGGGCAAACAGGACGAATGATCAGCACGAGACTAAAAGAACATCAGAGATTTTTTTCTTATCTCAAATACAAATGTCAGCAGTAGCAGAACACGGGTGCCAACAAGGACACTCAATTGATTTTTATAATGTTGAAGTTATGTGCAAAACTAGCTACTACTGGCCAGGACTAATTAGAGAATCTATCGAAATTGAAAAAAATAACTTTAACTGTTAGGAAAGCTACAGCCTTAGTGCTGCGTGGAGCGAATAATCAAATAATACATTATTGAAATGCATGCCTACAAAGGGCGGCATACTTGAATCGGGATTACCGTTGGTATGGCTATTTTAATACACATGTATTGAGTTCAACTGAGTCTCGGTACTGCACCCACATCCTAGTGGTGTCCGCGATGTCAATACACCGCACGCTGTGCCTCTCTAGGGCCGGCATTACACAGTGACATTCCGCGATGTCACTCCACACACAATAGACAGGAAGGACAAGTTCAAAGGGCTCGCATAATGCATAATGTACATAGCCTCAGTAATTCCCCCCCCCCCCCCCCCCCCCATGTGGCGCAAGAGCGCAAAAGCGTGATCACCACATCTACGCCTCTATATAAGGAACGTAACAGACTTCTCCACAAATCTGGCTGTCGCCTGATGAAGCTAGTTGTAATTACTGGCAAAACAGCGTACTCAGATTGTAAATGTTGTGGCTTGGTCCTCCAACACAGAACCGGTGTACTGTACTAGTGACGAATTGGCACGTTCTGCTTACGTGACAACCCTTACTAATTGGCTGTGTCGGGTGGTGGCTGGTTTTAATGACACATTTATATACTTACGTGATCTAACCCAAGAAACCTCTATTATATAAGGGATACTCTTTGGTTCTTTCGGTAAAATCATGTAGGTAGAAAATGAAAAAAATTAAAAATAATATATCACGACGTTTCGATCGCAACACGAGCGGTCGTCCTCAGGCGGAAAAAAATATAATCCAGCAGTGGAACTGCTGAACCAGCGAGAGAGCTGTTACAACAAGAGGTTATATATGTGGCGATGGGCAAGCAAGCGGGGTCTGAGCTGGAAAGGAATTCCATCCACGGACGCAAGCACGTCAGTTGTGTTAATGGGGGAGATTAGGGAGAGAGAGATTAGGGAGGGAGATTAGCATGAATGAGCTTCCGTCGCTGCATAAGAGTATCATCCCTGCATATGCGCACAACAGCAGTGTTAATAAGAGATTAGCACCATGAGAGTGCAATCAAAAGGACCTGTGAGCATGAGAGTGCAATCCAAAGGGCATGTGAGAGATCTAAGAGAGGCACAGAGAAAGAGAGACAGAGAGTCGGAAATAACAGCTGACATAAGCATGTAGCATGGAAACATCACAGTCAGTTAAGACTTTACCTGGCTAATAACGTCCTTCCAATGATTGCTCAGTTTGTACCCATCTTCTCGGTTGAAGTTGTGTCTGTGTTTATATATCTGGATGGCTTCATGAACAAATCTCTGAAGGTAGCCAGTGGGTTTGCAGAGTACCTTCGTCTTGGAAAAATCTATTTTGTGTGAGCCCAAAGCGTTAAAACAATGATCAGCAATGGCAGAGGTATTGGTCCTACCGTGTTTCAGATCTGCCTTGTGTTCACGAACGCGGTTCGAGACGTCGTTTCGTTTCCCCAAAGTAACTGCTGCCGCAACCACAAACTGAGTTATTGCATGGCATGACTCAGATCAGCTCAATAACAATGGTAGGAGGCTGCTAGACATCTGTGCAGCGCATGGATTTGTAATCACCAACACGCTATTCCGGCATCAGCATATCCACACAACATCATGGGTGCACGCTGGGTCAAAGCAAGAACATCTGCTGGACTATATATGTAATGGAACAGCGAACGTGGGTCCACGTCCTTGACATAAGGACCTATCGTGGAGCTGATCTGCCCACTGACCATCCAATAGCTGGCGTGTCATTGGTAAGTTGCGCCTATGATATGTCCACGATGCCGAGGGCATCGATCTAGGACCCCACTCAAACCCACAGTTGCCTGGTCTCGGCTTGAGAATTTCATCATCGTCTGCAGCTGGGGTTGGCATTGTCCTCCTTTCTTCCAGATACCAAGGGAAAGTGGGTGGGGTTCAGGACTGTGGCTCGTCCAGCTGCTAATATGGCTGCATTTGGGAAGCAGTCCAGTCCTCCCCAGAGACCCTGGCGAACGTAAGTGGTGTTGCGGCTCGCGGAGAGAAAGCGGTAGGCCCACTCCCACCGTCTACAGCATCCCTCGTCCGAGAATGAGGCTTACAGCCTTCGCTCAGAGATTCGGACATCTGTGTGGCGCTGCATGGATGGGTGGTGATCATGGGTTGCTGAGGAGATGTAAACTACCTCAGTAGAACAGGGTCACACATCACTCTTTAACTCCATCAAAAAAGTGATTTGCCACACAATACCTATTAATATTCTGAAGGGCAAAAATGGTGATCCGATCTCCATCCCCCAAAGAGAAGGTTCTCAGGTTTGCTGATCATTTCTGTGAGGCCCTGGGAAAGATGAAATCCCTCATCTTATATAACAACATGGGCCAAGGTGGGGTTGACCCTGCAGGGGCTGCTTTTTGTTGATGATTCGAGAAAGTAGCCACTCTCTGTGAGTGGTTGGCCAATGTGACATCTGTTGAGGAAGTGTGAAGGGCAATCCGGAGCTGGAGACCAGGCAGAGCGCTGGGTAGAGATCACCTCTCAAGCGAACTGCTGAGGGGGGGTGACATTTGGGTGGAAACGCTATGTGACATCATTAAAACAGTTCGGTACCATCAGTGTTCAGATTAGCTTCTGTGGGGGAGGAAGGAAGCTACTGGGCAGTTGGAGGCAGTCGCTTTCCAACAACAACAGAGGGTACAGGAGCGACGCTCACAACAACGAGCGGAATGTCGGCTGGCTAAAACACAGCAAGTTGGCAAAGTAGGGGGCACAGGTGGTGCACCGGCCACTCATGTCAGTCAGTCAATCCATGGCACCTGGGTCTATCCCGTGACCTCCTGTCAAGCGTGCGTTCGACACTTCATGTGGCCTTAGAGTGCACATAGCCTGGCACAAGCGTCGTGGTGACGTCACCGCCACTTAGTGGCGAATGGCGGTTGTTGTACAGATCGGTAGTGTAGCGGGTAGCACGCTGCACTACAAACCCGGCGACCCGAGTTCGATTTCCGCTCACGGCCAACACCAGTGATGATTATCTGAACCAATCATGGGCCTCCCCTAGGTCGACCCAGCCTCAAATGAGTATCTGATGTGGTGTGTAAACATCGCCACTGGGGAGACAAAGGCGGCCGGGCGTGGTGCTCGCCACCCAATCTCCTCGTGTGCCGTCCCGGCCTCCATAGGTGCTCACTAACAGCACTTGCCTCAACAGTCTGGCAAGGCTACACGGAGGATCTTTGTCTTTGTATGAATGTGTGTACGTGCATGTGCACGTGTCTGCGTGTGTGTGCGTGCGTGAGTGCGTGTGCGTGCGTGAGCGTGTGTGTACATGTGTGAGTGCGTGTGTGAGTGCGTGTGCGAGTGCGTGTGCGAGTGCGTGCGTGTATGTGTGTGAGTGCGTGCGTGTGTGTGTACCGGAGCTGGGTGCGGTGGAGGTCGTGTGCGTGGGTGAGGAGCGAGGGGTGAGGGTGTGTGTACGTGTGTGTACGTGTGTGTACGTGCGTGTATGTGAGTGCGTGCGTGTGCGCGTACCGGAGCTGGGTGCGGTGGAGGTCGTGTGCGTGGGTGAGGAGCGAGGGGTGAGCGGCGGGAGGCAGCAGAGCGACTCGCGCCTCACGGTCGTCCGTGCACTCCTCGGGGTCATAGTCGCCCGTATCCGCTGCAGCGAGACAGCCACGTGAGGGTGAGTGGTGAGGTGAGTGGTGACGTGCAATGAGTGGTGAGGTGAATGGTGAGGTGAGCTGAGTGGTGAGGGTGAAGTGTGTGGGGAGCTGAGTTGTGTGGTGAGGTGAGTGATGAGGTGAGTGGTGATGTGAAATGAGTGGTGAGGTGAATGGTGAGGTGAGTGTGGAGCTTAGTTGTGTGGTGAGGTGAGGTGAGGCCAGGTGAGTAGTGAGGTAAGGTGAGAGGTGACGTAAGGTGAATGGTGATGTGAAATGAGTGGTGAGGTAAGTGGCGTGGTGAGTTGGGAGGTGTGATCAAATCATTAATGAGGTGAGTGGGGAGGAGTGAGGTGAGTGGTGAGGAGTGAGGTGAGTGGTGGGGAGTGAGGTGAGTGGTGAGGAGTGAGCAGTGAGGTCCCTCACCTTGCAGGATGAAGGCGATGAGCCAGGCCATGTCTGCAGCTGGCGCCAGGAGGTGGCCGTGCCGCAGGTCCCGCTTGAGCTGCAGGAAGAGCAGGTACCTGCGGCACACACACACACAGCGCACACACACACACACAGCGCACACAACAACAACAACCGCCGTTCGCCACTAAGTGGCGGTGACGTCACCACGACGCTTGTGCCAGGCCAAGTGCACCTTGAGGCCACGTGAAGTGTCGAACGCCCGCTGGCAGGAGGTCACGGGGCAAACCCAGCAGGTGCCACTGGTCGACTGATCGAGATGACCGAGATGACTGGCTGATGCACCACCTTTGCCTCCTACTGTACCAACTTGCTGTGCTTTAGCCACCCGGCGCTCCGCTCGTTGTTGTGAGCGTCGCTCCTCCGCCCTCCGTTGTTGTTGTAGGGCGACTGCCTCCAACTGCCCAGTAGCGTCCTTCACGAGCCTCCTCCACTGAGGCCGATCTTGACACCGCTGGTACCAGTCATCGGCAAGTCCACTCAGCTCCACGTCCTCCTGTACCACATCACTCCATCTCTTCTCTAGCCCGTGCCGCGCCCGTTTAGCCCCCTCGATCCGGCCGAACAAAAGCTGTTTAGGCATGCGGTGGCTGGGCATGCGGGCTACATGACCCAGCCAACGCAGCCTTGCCTGCCGGAGGAGCTCACCGATGGGACTTTGCCCAGATCTTTCAAGGATTTGTGAGCTCCTCACACAATCCAGCCTGGTTAAACCCAGGATGGATCGTAGGCAGGCCAGCCTAAATGTTTCCAACCGGCGAAGATGCTCCATTAGGGGGGTCCACGTTTCGCAAGCGTGGCCGAGAAGACCTGAAGCTTCGTGTGGAGCGACAGACCAGGTAACTTCCACACAGCGTTACGCAACCGATGAAAAGATATTGCCGCTCGACTGATTCAGAGTGAGACCTCTGCTGTTAAACTGGAGCCGGTCATAAGCACACTGCCCAGGTATGGGAAACTCTCCACTCTCTCCACAACTTCCCCATCACCGATTGGGAGTTGTGGGGGTGGAGTGTCCGATGGTACAAAATACCCAGGCAGGTGCTTAGTTTTGGTGGGGCTGATGGTAAGGCCCCATCTCTTAGTGGCACGCTCCAGTCTCAGCCGCAGCGTCTCCAACTCCTCTTCCGAATGAGCAGCTATTACCAAATCATCGGCATACATAACGTGGTTGACCAATAGGGAGCCATCCCTTGATCGCACCCGGGCGTCGATCAGCCTCCCATTATATCTGTACCAAATGGAAATTCCCTCGGTACAGCTATTGAAGGCTTCACGAACTACGCAGTCGAAATAGATGTTAAATAATGTGGGTGCCAGAGGACATCCCTGTCGCACCCCAAGGTGTACAGGGAAAGACTCCGACTCCCGGCCACGTAGTTTTACCCGGGCCCGCTCACCATCATGAAGGTCCTTAATGATCGTGAGCAGAGGGTCAGGGACTCCGAAAGCACGAAGAACCCAGAGCCCAGGCCTATTGATGGTATCATAGGCCTTGACCAGGTCAATAAAGCAGAGATGTAGGTCTTGTTGGAATTCCCTACACCTCTGCTGTAGCAGACGGACAGAAAATATGGCATCTGTGCAGGACCGCCCTTTCCTGAAACCGCATTGGGGTTCCGCAAGCCTCTCCTCAGCGTGCCTAGCAAGGCGATGTTGAATAATCCTTGCCAGGACCTTTCCCGGCACACTGAGGAGTGAGATGCCCCTGTAGTTGTTACAGTCTGTGCGGTCCCCCTTCTTAAAGAGGGGGACCACCAGGGCATCGTTCCAATCCTGCGGAACCCGTCCAGTGGTCCAGACTGTTGTTATGATGTCAGGTAGGGCAGTCTGTGCACAAACGCCACCCTCCCTCAGCATTTCGCTTGGGAGATCATCTCTGCCCGGTGCCTTTCCTGGTCTCAGACTCCGGATCGCCTTAAGTACTTCCTCAACAGATGGCACCTCAGCCAGCCACTCACAGGGGGTGACCTCTTCCAATATTTGAGGCACGGCAGCCTCAGCAGGGTTATCCCCACTTTGTGCCATGATGTTTTCCTGGCTGAGAGATTTTTTCCCTCCCCCAGGACCTCACAGAAATGCTCAGCAAATCTGCAAACCTGTTCCTGGGGGTCGGAGATTGGATCACCGTTTTTTCCCCTAATGATGGTAATAGGTGTGGCGCTGCACAGTGACACACACACAGCGCACACACACAGCGCACACACACAGTGACACACACACACAGTCACATACACACAGCGCACACACACAGCACACACACACAGCGCACACACACACAGACACACACAGTGACACACACACAGCGCACAGACACATAGCACACAGCACACAGTCACACACACACACAGCGCACACACACACAGTGCACACACACAGCGCACACATACACACACAGTCACACACACACAGCGCGCACACACAGCACACACACACAGCGCACACACACACACAGTCACACACACACAGCGCACACACACATAGCACACACACGCAGCACACACACACAGCGCACACACACAGTGACACACACACACACAGCGCACACATACACACAGCGCTCACACACACACAAGTGACACACACACACAGCACGCAGACACATAGCACACACACACAGCACACACACACAGGGCACACACACACAGCGCACACATACACACAGCGCACACACACAGTCACACACACACAGTCACACACACACAGCGCACACACACACACAGTCACACACACACAGCGCACACACACACAGTGCACACACACACAGCGCACACACACAGTGCACACACACACACACAGTGCACACACACAGTGCACACACACACAGCGCACACACACACAGCGCACACACACAGTCACACACACACAGCACACACACACACAGCACACACACACAGCGCACACACACACAGTGCACACATACACACAGCGCACACTCACACAGTCACACACACACAGTCATACACACACACACAGCGCACACACACACAGTGCACACACACAGTCACACACACACAGTCACACACACACAGCGCACACACACACAGCACACACACAGTCACACACACAGTGCGCACACACACACAGCGCACACACACACAGTGCACACACACACACAGCGCACACACACACAGTGCACACACACACAGCGCACACACAAACACAGCGCGCACACAGCACACACACAGTCACAAACACACGGCACACACACACACAGCGCACACACACAGTCACACACACACACAGCGCACACACACACACAGTGCACGCACACACAGTGCGCACACACACAGCACACACACAGCGCACACACACAGCGCACACACACACAGCGCACACACACACACAGCGCACACGCGTGGAGTGCGTGGCGTGGAACGCATGTGTGTAGCGTGTGCAACGCGTGTCTATATAGTGTGCGTGTGTAGAGCGCGCGTGTGTGTATATAGCGTGTGTGTAACGCATGTGTCACGTGTGTGTGTAGCGTATGTGTGTAGCGTATGTGTGTGTAACGTGTGTGTGTAACGCGTGTGTGTGTGGCGTGTGTGTGTTTAGCGCGTGTGTGTAGCGTGCGTGCGTGCAGCATGCGTGTGTGTGTAGCATGCGTGTGTAATGCGTGTGTGTGTATGGGTGTAGAGTGTGTGTAGCACGTGTGTGTAGCGTGTGTGTATGTGTAGCGTGTGTGGGTGTAGAGTGTGTTGTGTAGCACGTGTGTATGTGTGTGTATGTACAGTGTGTGTGTGTATGTGTGTAGCACGTGTGCGTGTGCGTGTGTAGAGTGCGTGTGTAGCACGTATGTGTAGAGTGTACGTAGAGTGTACGTAGAGTGTGCGTAGAGTGTGTGTGTATAGCACGTGTGTGTATGTAGAGTGTGTGTATGTGTGTGTGTGTAGAGTGTGTGTAGGTGTGTGTGTAGAGTGTGTGTAGAGTGTGTGTGTGTGTGTAGAGTGTGTGTGTAGAGTGTGTGTGTGTAGTGTGTGTGTATGTGTGTGTGTGTATGTATGTGTGTGTAGAGTGTGTGTGTAGAGTGTGTGTGTAGTGTGTGTGTGTATGTGTGTGTGTGTATGTGTGTATGAAGAGTGTGTGTATGTAGAGTGTGTGTATGTGTGTGTAGAGTGTGTGTGTGTGTAGAGTGTGTGTGTAGAGTGTGTGTATGTGTGTGTAAAGTGTGTGTGTAGAGTGTATGTGTAGAGTGTGTGTATGTGTGTATATAGAGTGTGTGTATGTGTGTGTAAAAGTGTGTGTAGAGTGTGTATGTAGTGTGTGTGTATGTGTGTAGAGTGTGTGTATGTGTGTGTATGTAGTGTGTGTGTGTAGAGTGTGCGTATGTGTGTATGTGCACCGTGTAACTTATCCATGTAATCGGAGCGGCGCCGCTGCGTGGATCTGGGGTCACCGATCTCACACAGCAGCTGCTGCTGTAGCTTCTGTGCAACTGTCGTCGTGTAGTGACTGAGTGGTGACTGAGTGGTGACTGAGTGGTGACTGAGTGGTGACTGAGTGGTGACTGAGTGGTGAGTGAGTGGTGACTGAGTGGTGACTGAGTGGTGACTGAGTGGTGAGTGAGTGGTGACTGAGTGGTGACTGAGTGGTGACGTGAGTGGTGACTGAGTGGTGAGTGAGTGGTGACTGAGTGGTGACTGCGTGGTGAGTGAGTGGTGAGTGAGTGGTGACTGCGTGGTGAGTGAGTGGTGAGTGAGTGGTGACTGAGTGGTGACTGGACTGGTGCGTGAGTGTGACGTGAGTGGTGAACTGAGTGGTTGAGCTGAGTGGTGAGCTGAGTGGGACTGAGTGTGACGGAGTGGTGAGTGAGTGGTGAGCTGAGTAGTGACTGAGTGGTGAGTGGAGTGGTGAGTGAGTGGTGAGGAGTAGTGACTGAGTAGGTGAGTGAGTGGTGGAGTGAGTGGTGAGTGAGTAGGGAGCTGAGTAGTGACGTGAGTGGTGAGCTGAGGTGGGTGAGGGTGCGGAGTGGTGACTGAGTGGTGAGCTGAGTGGTGGAGTGGTATGGAGTGGTGAGTGGTGGTGAGTGAGTTGGTGACTGCGTGGTGAGATGGTG